CAGTGTGGATATGATTATGCATGTAAGTAAAGACGTGCAGTTTGTCAATGGAAGACTGTATATAAGTACAATACTATAGCAGTATAATAGCCTCCCAAACCATAGAAGGAGGCCCTCAAGTGACAGCTGAAATGAAGTGTTTCTGCAGATGATTAAATACAGGTTTTTGAAGACACAGTTTAAGACGAATTACAAATGTTTTGAACTGTGAGTTATGTAAAGCTGCTGCAGAGATTTCAGTTTAAAGCATGTAAATGAGCATGATACCCTGGCTTTAGGCACCAATGTGTTGAACGCTAATTGAGAAAACTGACTGTGGCAGACACCAAATGACTTCTAGTGACTTTCTAAGTGGATAGAAAACATTAGTCAGTGGGTATTTATATGTAGGATCTCAATGGAGAAGCCTGGTGTGCACATCAGAGAGAACTCTGTACAAGTCACTCAACACAAATGACTACATTGTCTGTAATTATCAAGACATAGATCCTGAGCTCTTTGACCTGGATCCTACAATCCTCTGAAGCTGAATAATACAAACACACAAGACCACTATGTCTGAGGACTGGGTCATAATTGACCAGCAAGGACAGTGTAGTCTTTCAAGTTCTCTGTAATGGTCCTGTCAGAATTCTGCATGACTTCAGTCCTCAGTTACAACAACAATTCTGACTACTCATCACAAAACAACCAGTTTTAATGATGTAAGCTGTCCAAACTGAGCCATGCTTAATTCGAAGAATTAGATACAAGCAATTTCGAAGAAACGTGTAACAGTAACTGAAATGATAATAGATCTTTTGGTAACGCTTTATAATAACTATCCATTATAACTAGTTAATAGATTATTAGTAAACTGTTAATTAATGAGTTATTACTGACTTCTTTGTTAACAGTTTGTTAAGGATTTACAATAATGCCTTATATATAGTTAATGTATCATTAATAAACTTAGTGAATGAGTTATAAATGACTATAAAGGGTTTATAACTAAACTTTATAAATTAGTAATAGATAATGAACAAGCTATGAGTAAATTATTTACTAATGACTTGTTAGGTATCATTTAATAGTTTATATCTTTTATTGGGGTGTTATTCTAAAGTTGCAACTATTCTTCATTTATCAACTGTTAGTAAATGAGGAAAAGTTGTAACTTTAGAATAATGTCCCAATAACATATATAAACTATTAACTGAAAAGTAACAAGTCATGAGTGAGTTATTTAGTGATTTGTCATTAGTAGTCATTAGTAATAATAGCTTGTTCATGATCTATGACTAATTTATAAGGTGTAGTTATAAACCATTAACATACAGTTAACAAGTCATTTGTAACTCATTAACTAACAGTTTATTAATGATATATTAACGATCTATCAGGCATCATTATTAATCTTTTAACGAACTGTTAACAAACACTTAACAAGTCATTAATAACTCATTTATTAACAGTTTGTAACCAATCTTTTTAGAGCTGATAACATCAGCAGATACACTGCTCAGTTTTCAGAAATAACTTTCTACTGCTCGACTAAAATCCAACAGAATTCTGACTGAATCAGATCCCCATGACAAAGTTGATCAAAACATCACCATGCAGGTTTCTGTTAGTGTTCCCAAACCAAACTAAAAGGCAATATTTACTTCATAGCCCAAGGGCCAATTGGCAGATCCCTGACAGTGAGATATGAGATCAAGAGAAGGACAGTCAATCAGTTTTCCTGACTGATTTGATATAATATGCTGTTTTACCAAATAAAACACTGAGGTAAACTCCTAGTCCATGCCTGAGTGCCCATAAAGAAGCAATTTCTCTGCTCCATAATGTCACATGATGCTTTCAATCAAAAAAGGTCAAAATCAGGCTGCAATGCAATGCAAAAAAAAAAAAAGAAAAAGGCAACAATATCTCATCCAGTAGAAGCTTTTCTGGATCCTCTACCTTCTGAGTTTCTTAAAGGAGTTCATCAGGGATAAAACATGGAATGGGGGTTTTGGAGGGAATACAAGAACCAGAGGAGGGAAAACCAAGAAAGTGTAAAAATCTGCGAGCTGGAGAGAAAACAGGTGGGCTGAGTGCATACGTCTAAGCTGTAAAACTAACTTCAGGATAACGGCAGCTTTTACTGCGCCAAATCTGACTCACTTTCTCTTCACACTGAGGGTGGTGAGGTTCACAAATGTGTTCAACCTGGAATTTACAGGACGGGGCAGAGACACAGACAGAAGCAGACACAGGTATATAGACACAGAGAGGAAGATATTCAAGATAGAGGGTCTCTGGAAAGAGTCTGTGGGTTAAACCTTTTTCTTTACTTACCTCTTGTGCCCTAAATATTGTTTTTAGATATCACAACACAGGATTATTAACATGATCATAATGCTGTGACTTACATCTGTCTTTGCATTGCTTTACTTATTATTCGTTTATGTTAATCAACGTTAAGTTACAATACACATCAAAATAAACTCTGAGTAAGTTTAAGTAACTTGTATTGAGTTATAGAGTTGAACTGCTAAATGCTTGTTCTTATGCAAAGGCCCACAATCCAGGACTTTAGGCTATAGAGTCTCCCTCCTATTTTAAAGATGTTGAACTTTTTTTTAAAGACAGACTCTGCAGACAATTCTCAGAGTAAATTTGCAGAAGGGAAATTATTAAATGACTTTAAAAAGTAAATGATGGAAGGTCCCTGGTTTGGTTCGATTGGTAGAGCAGGTGCCCCTTAAATAGAGGCTGCAGCCAAATTAGTTGCAGGTTAACTCCTGATCCTGTCACTTTTGCTGCATACCATTCCCCTTCCTTACTACCTCTCCTTAGCTGACCGGAGAAATTAAGACGAAAAGCTAAAAGGTTATGTTTTGTTACATCAAGAAGTTTACGGTGAAGTTAATGTTTTGTATCTGTTCAAATGTACATTTATATGTGATAGGGCAGCTGTGGCTCAGTGGTGGAGTCATCTTCTTATCAAGTTTGAGGGTTCAGTCAACAGTCCATGTGCTGAAATGCCCTTGTGCAAGACCCTGAACCCCCAAAACTGCCTCAAATGGCTGTGCAAATGGTGTGCAACACTATGACAAGAGATGTAGTGCTTTGAGTGGTCAGAAGACTAGAGACGGAGCTGTGAATAAACGCAATTCTATTTTCCAGACTGTATTTTCCTGAAGAGTACTATTCTGTGGACTCAGCAAGGTAAATGAGACTGTGTTTGGTTCTCTTGTAAGGAGGATAATGGAGCGGTCTAGCTTGTGAGTCATCACGACTCTCTTTAATTTGTGTCCTGTCATCCTGTCACAGTTAACTAAACAAACCGGTTACCTAAAATTTTTGTAATTTGTAGTTTTTGGCCTTAAAAATATAGGGATAATTTTTTCTGCCAAACCATTCCTGTGACTACAGATGGATGTAAGAGCAGTCACTTCATTAACCCGTGATCGCTTCAACAGCAGCTGGAGAGCAAAAGCCAACAACTGTCTTTTACCCTCTGTATTAATAACTTTAAGAAGGTGTAAGTGAAATTAGGAGGAGGAAGAAGAGTGGATGACAGATGAGGAAAGGTAAGGTGAAGAAGGAGATGTTTGTTTTTTTACAGTGGGAAAAGAGATGGCCATGTCATTTAAAAGAGTTGCAAGGGGATGTTTGCTCACCCTCTTAATGGCTTAAAAGGACTGGAAGCATCGATCTTTCTTTGTGCATTTCAGTGGGGGCAAAAGCCCAAGAGGAATGGACACAATTCAGCTCTGTGACTAATTGCACTAACTTCAACAGATATGCCTCGCCAGCGCACATGGAAAATACCATTATTAAAGTAAATATCACAGTGGAATTTCCATTACGCTGACATCAAGAAAGGATACACGCCATGTCAATGAAATCCCAAAAAACTAGTTTACATTTTGATGCATTCATCTGAAGTTCAGGAGTTCAGGAATTAGGGTATAAAAGCATAATAAAAGACAATCCGTGACTTAGTTTCTGAAAATACTTGTAGATAAACAGAATCATCTTTTCACTGAGTGGTAGAACATCATATAAACAGACTTTGGCTGCATCAACATCCATGTCTAGTGTTAGTGTTGGGAAATAAACTACATTTTTACAGGGTATTTTCAGTGCAGTAAAACCAGTGTGTCTCAGGAGCAAAAAATACTCCAAAGGAATGTCAGTGTGCATGTTTTGTCAAAAGACAGAATGCTGCAAAAACAGAGAAGAAAAAAACAACACCGGGTATGGAAATGGTTCTTAAAAATAGATGTCAGAAGCAGTACATGTGCATTTACACGCAATGCACACAAATCACTCTATAAATTTTGTCTGCTGGCTGCCACTGAGCGTGCCCAGTGACAGCGGTCTGTGTGCCAAGCCATCATCACATGGAGCCCAGTGCTGGGGTTGACAGCCTGCTCTGAAACATGAGGCCAAATGGACTCTGGGAATCTCCAAGGGGTGCTGGATAGGATCTTTCTGCACCTCTGGGTCCTACACATCTGGCCTGCTGCACTGCTGTTGTGACTAAAGCGGGTACAAAGGTGAAGGGAGGGTAATGGTTGTGTGTTCTGGGGCAAAGATGAGGTCTAACACTACACAGAGCAGTGCAGCTGTTCTGCGGTTTCTAGCCTTTTTTCTTTTCTTTTTTTTAAGCTTAAAAAATATGTGGGTACAGGCACATAACAAGTGGTTTACATCTTTGTCTGAGGGGAGAGTAAGATTCTTTGTTAATGGTGCCTGTAATCACAATGGGCCTGTCAGGAGAATGTTTGACATGAATTTGGATGCTTTACTTTAAGAGAGGATCATTTTATGACTTTACCTTGTAAACAGACACATTTTGGCAACTTACACACATTACATAATGCATCTTTAGTACAATGCTCTGGAGTTTATCTCAAGGCTGCTAGCACAGGAGTAACACTGACTAAAGATCTGCTGCTACTTGATATAAAATCAAAGCAGCAGCTACTTTAGGTTGGGGTTGTGCTGGTGTGTGGTTGGTTGGTTGGTTGGTTGGTTGGTTGGCTGGTCAGTTGGTTGGTTGGTTCGTTGGTTGGTTGGTTAGGCTGCTGGTATCTTGCTTTACATATTTGCTTGTCTTTTGGTTGTTGATTTTGTAAGACGTTTGATCAGTTGTTGGGTCGTTTTGGTAAGTTGATTAGTTGGTTGATAGAGTGATAGCTTGTGATCAGTTAGTGGGTTGGTTGGTTACTTTTTTGGCTCGTTAGTTAGTTGGTTGCCTGACTGGTTGATTGGTAGGTGAGTTGGTCGTTTCTATTTATTTATCTTTTTTGAAGGTTGGTCGGTTGGCTGGTGGATTGTAGATCGTTATTATTGATCCAAATTAGAAAAAACAAGGTATCAGAAACTCATCAAAGCAAATAATCTACCAATGAAAAATTAACAGTAAATATGGACTAACATTAGAATATATAAACATGTAGGTTTTGTTTTTACAGCTAATTCATATCAGCTTTTACCAACTGAATACTTTGAAATACCCCTATTGACCAGGATATAATACTTTGTGGTGCAATGCACCTGATTTAAGTGAGATTGTCTTATATTTGGGGTTAAAGCTCCAGTGAGGAACTTTCAGTATGTGTCAACCTTGAGGCCCCCTGTGGAATTTTTGCTAATCTTGTCCTCTACATGCTTAAGTTTGACAAATACTCAAGCAGACAAAAACAGTCAAACTTATCATTTATGGTGAATATTTTATGTGGAAATTGGATAATCTGGTAGATTGCTTTCTCCATGTGCTATCTCAGTGCTTCATTTATATTGATTTTTCATTTATCTAACAGATAAAATTTTAAGAATTTAAAAATAAATCATTTTATTAAAAAGATAAAAAGCGTCAACTTACCTCAATGTATTGAATGTTTATTTTACTATGATGTTTAAGTCAAATTTTGGTCAGTATTAAAACAAGATTTGGTCTTCAAAAGTCTAGCCCTGAAAATCAGTCATGGAAAGGAGAGGTTGTCTAATAATCAGGGTTGAGTTTTATCTGGCTCAAACCAGAAAAACTAATTTCAGTTTTACCATTGTCATTCTGTTCTGACTGTATTTTTTTTTTTCTTCGTTTTCCTGGAGAGCCCTTCCCAAAGGTTCCAGCTGACCAGCGTAATGGAAAGCTCTGCTCTTACAGTCAAGCTAATGTAATGGGTCTCATAGGGCTGGATGAAATGAATGTGACTGAGGAGCTCTGACAAAAACCGCAGACAAAAGGAGTGTTAGTGTCTGAGTGTGAGGGATATAGGAGAGTAGAGCACTGTGTGCGGTAGACTGAGAATTGTTAACTAACGTAATACAAAACCATTCAAATGAATATCAACCTGTTTATACTTCTGACTTTGCAAACACATCTAAACCCTCCCTTTTGTCACCACCAAGTAAAACATACTCTGAGGATAAAGACCTGCATGGCATGTGTGTGAAATAAGGTATTTCCTCTTTCATTGTTTCTAGTTGCCTCATAAACCCAGCACACACTTTGTGTTTCATGGGCAGCATGTTTGATACCAGCTCATTTCCCCCTCTCCCACAGCCCCACCAGGTGGCCGGCTGGCTCTCCTCCTCTGTGACTCGAACCCTCTGCCATCCCGCAGAGCTCAAAGCTCCTGAAAGCACTGAGGTTAGTTTGGGGGCTCTTGGTCTCACTGCAAAAAAATAAAATAAAATTACGAGTTCTTCAGAACTATTTCAAAAGGAAAATACAAGAAGATCAAAGTGGTGCCTTTAAGCTTTATGACCGAAAAAAAGAATCTTTCAGAATACACAATACGCTGGAGGTCCTCGAAATTCCCAAACAGAGCACTGAAATATTGGTCTGGAAGGAACCCCAAAGATTCAGTGCTCTCCTAATGAATCAGGGCAACTGCCTTTGTTTACCATGTTATTGTAACTCTTAAGAGCTACACAATGACCACATTTAGAACATTTAACATGAATCTACAAATGCTTATGTTACTTAGATAATATCTGTTTTTTCCTCCTTTGAAATTATTCAAACATGAGCTTGTGACTTAATTGTCCAAAAGATCTTCCTGGATGAATCTTGTCATATGAACTTTGTTTTTAAGGACAGCTGGTGTAAACACTTAGGAGATAACTCTTATTTATTTCATTTCATCCTCGCTTTCTTCTTCCTTTCATGACTAAGCCTATGGATTCCCTGTTTCCTGGTGGGATTAGTATGTTTGCTTTGATGTGGGTTATGCCCTGCTTAGTGTGTGTGGGAAGGCTCCTCACTGCTGTGTGTGTGTGTGGCAACATTGAGGTGAGGGGGTACACGCAATCTGCTTTTTACTCTGGCAGTGTTTGGATGTAGAGCGTGACCCATAGCGCTCTATAAACCGGCACGTTCAGGAACAAATGCAGCTGTTAAACACCAATCTTGGCAAGTCAGGCAAACACTTCTGATTACAGCTTGCTCATTTGGCCACGTGTGTGTGTATGTGTGTGCATGTGTGTGTGTCCCATTCTGTGAAAGCACAGTGTGTTTTCAACAAGCGTCAGTGTGGTCTGCCAAGTACAGGTAGCTGATATCAAAGTAAAATAAACCTAGGAAGCATTAACGTGGAAGTACCGGATGCTCCCAACTTAAGAGAAGCCTTTTTGAAGGACTTCTTCCTCTGTGGGAGACGAACTACAGCAACACCGTGTTCAAATTTGTTTAATTCACTAACACTGATAAGAAACATCACAGACTAACTGTCAGCTTACATTTACAGGACCCTGTCATTTGAATTGTACATGTATGCTATGTTGAGTTTTTGTGAGGGTGTCATGTCCAAGTTCAAATGTTAAAGGGATATTCCAGTGTAAAATTAATTTAGGGTCGAACACACCGTAACACAGAGTTAGACACCCCGTTGAGAGGTGAATGTTGCCGACTGCTTGCTTCTCTAGTTATACCAACTTTAGTAATGACTGCAGGATAGCAATACACAGTGGTCTGAGGAGCCATAAACAAACCTCCGCCAAAACGCCACTCTATAGCCACAAATAATGCTGTCTGGTTGCATGTTTTCAAACTTGTCCAGGAATGTCTCATGCTGACACTGCTAGCAGTCAGAAACAGGCGATGCAGGACTAGTAATTCTTAAACTTATCCTTTTTTACAACATCAGTTTAGAGCAATTTGGTATGAGCTCCATAGAAAATAGATGCAATTAAGTGCCAACAATTAAACAGTTATTCATACCCAAGCAATTACTCTAAATTTTCTATCTTTCGGGTGTAATAATTTGTGAAAACATTACATTAAAGTTTATTCTTGACCTGTCTGAGCTCAAGGTCCATAAGGCTACCACCTTAACCAGAGTTTTCAATATGATCATTTTTAATGGATTGACTTTGCTCAGGTAAGGGAACAGGTTTCTTTCATTACTGTAGAATTATAACAAAAAAAACTGTCTATTTATAATATATACAGAAAGAGGCCAATGATGCACTGGGTTTGAAAAAAGGAAAAATCGATATGAAGTAATCAGGTTCTCTTTAAGGATAAAAGGGTGAAGATCAAATAATAAAGTTCATGGTGAAAAGTTGAAAACTCAAATCCCTCTGTCTCAGTATAAAAATCCTTTAATAAACAAGCGTGTATGTGTTTTGACCTAACTGAGTCTTTACCAGTACATTAAAGACAGTAGCGGTAATAGATCTACAATCAAAGTGCAATGAAAAGAAAGAATTTTACACCTCTGGTCTCAGGAGGCTCGTGTAGCTCAACAACACACACGCTTTACAAAAACAGCAGTATGGTGTGCTGCAAGGAAAAAAGGGAAACCTTGAATGGCAATGACCTGTAATATTTATGCAGAGGTGACTCCTGAATGGCTCACTCATGGCTACAGAGGGCCCCACAAACCCCAGCTCTGGAGCCACTGTTTTTATTGCCCCTGATGCAGAACAGATGTAAATGACAATTTTGAGAGTTTTTTTTTAACCCTGAATTTAGTAGCTGTTTGGACTATCAAAAAAGTAAAAAATGTCTTAAAATAAAGATTAGAAAAGTTGTATGTCTGTGGTTGCTTGCTTTAAGGGGGCATATCTTCTGTTAAATAAGCACTGTGAGGTCTAGCACTCTGTCTGAAAAGAGGGTGGGGTGTCTCTCTACAGTGTACACATTTCAAAAAGAACATCAATCAGTCTATTAGCAGGTTTCTGATTATCTGACAGGTGAAGGAAGTCAGGGCTGCTGGACATTTGTCTTCATCATTCACTCAGGGCCTGATAGTGACTGGCGTCTTCATTAAGTCTCCTGTTTTCAATAAGATGAGAAGCAAACGTGAAGTCAGCAGCTGATTTCAAGGATCTCTGGAAAGCTGTTGGTCATCAAAAAATGATCAGGAAATGTGGATGCGTCATTTTTTCCCTACAGAGGTGAACTGTACAAAGCATAATCAGCTTCTTAAGTTGTGTTTCAAAAGATAATACATTGCATCTTGTTTACTTATTGAAAAGGTTGCTTTGTGTGTTTTTATTTTACCAGCACTGTGAGTCTTAAATTGATGTTTTTAAGGATGGGGTTTGGTGCCACCATGAGGGCGTTTCAAGTACAGAAAAGACCTGAATTGATTTCTTTCTGTGTTAAGTGTTAGAAAAAGCAAATGTGTTCTGATTTATGTTCAGCGTTGGTGGATAAATCACCCACAGAGGCCCATGTATGCGTCCACACGAGATTCTCCTCACATATGCGTGAGTCTTCATGTGATTCAACAGGTGACTCTCCACACTTAATGACTGTGTAAGGAAAAACATCCCCTGATTCCAGTAACTAGTCCTTCTGCGGCCAAACTTACTCTTCTTGTGGTTGCTGAGTAACTCACAGATCAAAAAACTTTCTCCGTGACTTTTCACAAGCATGAGCATTTAAGAGAAATCCCTTATGCTGCTAAGTCTGCACTTTTTTCCCAGCAACAAAGCGCAGTCACACACAACGGTGAGTGTGTGTGGTTCTGTACCAATTTTTCTCTATTTAATAAGCTGTAAAAAATAGAGAGAGCTTTTTAACAATGACATTTATTGCCTGTGTTTGAGCCGCCAGTGTTCCATGAAAAAATGAGCCAATATTCACCTGAAAGTGGCTCTGTTACGAACACGGGTTAAGTTTGGCAGAGAGCTGTAAGTGAACAAGCAGGAGCGGTAATTTCCTTTTACATACCATGTTTTGCACAAATGGCTAATACTGGAAAATTTTCTGTTGAAGTATTGTTTGAGATGGAGAAACTCTGCAGTAAGAACTTTGCTCAGTAGTGTCTATTTTATCAATGTTTCTCAGGTCAGTTGTAAAATACAGGTATTTTTTGTAACTATTGCATATCTGCTGGATAAGTCAATAAATGTAGTCATTAAATAAAGAGAGAGAAAAACAGGATCATGGCAAAAATATCAATAAATGGTAAAATCAATATTATCTGGAGTGCGACTGTTACAGGTTATAACCAGAGTAGACACTGCACACACACACATTGCTGTGGTCGCAGCAGCTGTGCCTATAATAATGTTATATGTAAATAAAGTGTCTGTGTGTCCACAAGCTGTAAATCAACTTTGAAGTTATTTATGATGTAAAAGTTGTAAAAAAAAAAATGCTCAAAGCACTTCACCGCATGTTCATTGGAAAAAAGACTGACACTGAAAAAATGCACCAACAGCTGGAAAATTAATATCGGCACGTACACACTTCCATTAGTTACAAAAAAATATCTTCCATCAGGCATCTCACGCCCTTTCCAAAAAATCAGCCATGAGTTTCTTTTGGCTCCACACCTCTGTCAGCGTCCAATCTGTCCATTAATAAAAATGTTCACTGTTTCCCGGCTTCATTTCCCACCTCCTTCCTCAGACTCTGACAGCCTTCAGAAGCTGTTGACTCTCTTCAACTCGTCAGTGAGAGTAGGCTCTCATCCAGCACTGCTAATATTGTTCATACTGCTGCATTCATAGCTTGTGTAGTAAAGCACAAGAAGTGCTTTGAGCGCTGATGCTTTGCTCATTAGTTTTAACATACCAAAAATTAACTTGTTCTCAAAGGGCCACATTATTTATAATTGAAAAAAATAATCCTTAATCTTATGTTTCGAAATGTTCAATTTAATGTTTTCTGGTATGACTCCCACATTGCTGCCTGTATTTGTCAAGTCTGTCTATTGACACTGCAACATTACTCTGCATGACTAATGTTTAATGAAAAATGGATGTTGTTACACCTGAATGACACACTGCAGGCTGTTTCTAACATAATTAAAATTTGGAAAGAGGTAAAAGTAGCTTTAATGCCATCTAGTGGTACTTTCTGGTAAGTGATTTTTTGAAAAGGTGTTTGGGCAACTATTTCTCTCAGGTTTGCCTTAGTGTGGTGAACATAAATGAAACAGTTGAAACAAGTAACCAGCCTTAAAATCTCACCGGACACATTCAAACAAAGGACAAAAACAGCAAAGTAAATATTTATGGATAGAAAAAGATGTAAAAATGCTAGAAAAAGACCAAATAGAATAGAGTAGAATTCAACTTTATTGTCATTGCACATGCCACAAGTACAGAGCAACAAAATGCAGTTTGCATCCATCCAGAAGTGCTTAGCAAGTATAAATATATTAACAAATGTACACAGTATGAAGGAGATATATGCATGAGTATATCACGGGTATATAACATTGTTTTGAATGTGCTATAACTATTATTATGTACAGGCTATGAACAGATTATACATTAGGTTATCAATATAAAGGCTATAAACAGACTATAAATATAAGTATATGATGGATAAATTATGTAGTAGTGCAACATTGGATGTATTTACAGTATTGCAAATGAGTTTTGAAAGGTTTGAAGTTGGTTTACAGATATAAAGTGCAGGTAATTGTAGATAATTCTAAGTGGTGGTTCAGTGGTTGTGAGTGCGTGTGTGTTCAGTTCATGAGATAGATAAATCTCAGTCCATAGACAGATAAATAAATAAATTTCTTCTCATAAGAAACAGTTGCAGTTAAAAAAAATAAGTGACAAAGTTATAATTTGTCCTCATTGTTCAAGTCAATCCTATTCATCTTTTACAGTCAATTTTAGGTTGCAGCCACAAGGGGGAAGGGTTTCTTGTGATAAAAGGACTTTAACAGCCAACCTTTGGATTCACGGCCTTTAAAATTCTTGAAGAACAGGTATAAGACCACATTCAGTTCATACTTCACTGAGTTAATATATATTCATCAGCAGTGGCTTAAGGTAACCTATAGCCTTCAGTACAATATATCACCTACAGGATCTTTCCACGGCTGCACTGACTGATTTATCAGAGATATCAGAGAATGAGAAGAACTCTCACTCTGTTACAGTTTTCCTGTATAATTTAGTCACAGAATTGTGCACATGGTTTTACGAACCAATATTACTTCCCAATATTTTTTTCCTCAGACGCATGAAACGATGATCAGAAACTAAACTGAAAACACTGCAATCAATCGGAAAGACCCTTTTTACGGTGATGGCACTCGGCAAATTGAATAAAGTCTGTAAACATTATTTTTTTTGTTAATCGTAAATCATCTGTAAAAGAATAAAGGTCAAAAGGTTACTTGGGGAAAATTGGCTCTGTTTTCTGAATTAATTAAATAATCATCTCAGAATAATGAAAACATTTTATCTCATTAATTTTAGATATTAAAGCAGGGGTGGTGTTTGTATCAGGTGAGCCATCTTCTTCTAAATATACGATCTCTGAGTTGAAGCGCGTCTGCGAAATGAATTCGTCGGTGTCGTCAGTTCCGTAACGCGTTCCTCCTCCTGGCTTCATTAAGAAACAGGATAGAGGATTATTTACGGAGGGACAGAGGAGAACCGCTGCTAAACCAAGTATTTGTCCGGATATGTCATTAAAACAGTCTTAAAACTAGAGCACCATTGTTGTTACCGTGTTGCCTTTTTGTCTCGGGCTGACAAAAAGAAACGCCAGTCTCCTCTACGACGCGCGTGCATTGGGATGCACTGCCGCTAGCCTGTTATTAGCTCACGCGCTAGCTTTCCAAACACCTCTGTTTTTACGACGGGACCAAGCACACCGTAAGTCAGAGCCTCTCTAAACGACAGCATGTTGTATCTGGGTAAAGGAATGAACACATCAATTTAGGTATATCAGCTTTGTAATTGCGGTAAACTCACAGTTTTTAATGTTATACCAGCTTCTCACAATAAGGCAGGCCTTTACTAAATAGCAAATTATCTCTTCCTCTGTCAAAATAAGTAAATAAACGATAAAACATTGATATTACTTGTATTTTGAAGCCGTAATGAACCCCTCTATGTTGGGCAGATTGATCCCACTAGAGGCCTGCTGAAGAGCGCACCTGTGCAGGTGCACCTGTTCTGGCGATAAGCTTTATCATTATAAAGCTTATCGATATATCATTATGATGGTATAATTATATAGTTATCGTTATAACTTATCTTTCTTTGTACATTTGGTCATCAGTTTGAGTCTCTGGCAACAAAAGTCACGCTGCTTTGCAATCATAACGATGATGATGATGTTCATTCCCTCTTTTTGCTGTACATTTAGTAGTCTGTGGTTGTACAACTTGGGTTATTTGGGAGCTTCCCATTCTCAATAATAGGCTGTCAGTGGAGTACTGTATATTTCACAGCATAAAGGAGCTCTGTTAACAAGTTGCATTTACTTGGCCTGGCCTTAAGTGTCTTTACTGGGAGAGAAATTAGAGGAATTAAGTGTAAAAGCTGAACAGGATACTAGAGGATGCAAACATATAAATAAGTGTTTTGAGGCGCATTAGATTATATTTGTTTTCTTGCTTAAACTCACAACTTAAGGAGGGTTTCAAGCTTTTTTTTAAACTGCAAAGCTCTGACACAGAGTTGACTTTTGTGTCGACTTTTGTTAGGTAAGAGAAGCCAAACTACCCATGCCTTAAGTCAACAGAGATGTGTCCTTCCTCAGGAGAAGGATTTGGCATGATCAAGCATGCGTTTAAACAGGAAAACCCACTAAGGCAAGATCAAAACAAATACAAATATGTCATGTAAGACATGGGATTCCCATGACAATGAGTGAACTGACTGCCAAAAAGCAGCAATCTTAAGGTTACTGTTTGCCACATAGCAGAACATCTCTGTAAGGGCAGCATGTTTTTAATGTTAACTAATTTAAATATTTGACTTAGGTTTACTCACATAGCACATGTTTACAGTCATTAGTCCTAGGCTGCAGAAGTCCTGTAGATCTTGTCAGCTTACCCTTCTATTGGTTAATACAGTGGTTCTCAAGTCCAGGCCTCAAGGCCCACTTTCCTACATGTTTTGGATGTTTCCCTGCTCCATTACACCTGATCAAAATGATCAGCTCGTTATCAAGCTCTGTAATGGCTTAATAACGAGCTGATCATTTGAATCAGGTGGGCCTCGAGGACTGGACTTGAGAACCGCTGGGTCAATACAATACACAGTCATGTTGGATTTGATATGTAAAAGTTTACTAGTATAATGTTTGGTAATCTTATTCAGTGAAAGGTCAGTCTTTGGAACTTAACTTTGCTAACTTATGGACCCTATGTCGATTTATCATCTTATTATTACTGTCCCCTGTCAGAGACTTTTAGAGAAAATCAATATGCATTTTTTACAACACTTTCCAGAACCTTTTTTAATCACACACTGTAAATAATTCACATTTGTTTATCTCTTTGCGTAGAGCTCATGCATAAAGTTTTTTTTCCAGTTGTGTTGTTTACCTGGTAAGAAGACTTCCTGAATTGCAGTGTGAAAATTAAGACGACTGCAGGTCCTCCTACTTGTCTTAATTTTTCACCACCATCTGCACCGATACAGTATGCTCACATTTCCCATCAGAGTTTGTAGGAGTGAATTCAGTGGGATGTGAATTAATTATTCCTGTTTAAGTCAAAAATAGTGGCAGTATTACAGTATTACTCCTAGTCCATCCCTTGTTTTTGTCTATGCTATCATAAATGATGTATGTACCTATAAAAGTGGTGACTATGTGCAGCAGACAAAATAACTTTGTCTGGACATGATGTAAAACATTTTGCTGTCTCCTCTTCAGTCTGGGTTTTTGAAAGGTAGGCGCTTCCACAGTACAGTCTTGTAATTGAGCTACAGAGCTGAGTAGCCACTTCAACACGACAGCTCATTGTAGTGGCAGCCCGTGTGCGTGTGGCTTTCACAGTTGTGTGGTATTAATCCAGAGCGGTAGCCTTGCCCTTTGAAAATCACCTCCTCTCTTGTTTGTGTCTATTCTACACCCATCTGTCTAATGACTGAGCTGTTTTGACTATGCTCTTTGGTCTCTCCTGTTCAAAGCAGCATTTAAACCTCAGTGTTTTTCCTCCCCTGCTTTTTTTTTCAATTTTATTTATATATTCCTGTTTCTGTTATATCCATGCTTTCTCTCTTTGTGTCTCCTCTTTCTCCTATCAGACACAGTGCATTATGACGGACAGCATTATGAGTAAAGCTGCCACAATGGAGATTCCCATTAACAGTAACGGTGACACAGGAACACTACCAGAGGATGACAGCCTTGAACAGGTGGGTGATAGCTACTGACAGGCTACAGGATGTAACCATATGATACCACCCTGTGTAAAAGTTGTATTTCAAGCTATTAAACAAGAGAACAAATGCAAAAAAGTAGAGTGATACACTTTTTTAAGAACTTCCTTTTCAGTGATATCTTAGTTGTTACCTTATTAATGAAAAGCCCTCTGTGCTGCAAGACCTTTGTTTGTCCTTGACATTTATTTTTCAGCTTAGTGACTGATCTTCTTAAGTCAGCCTTATGGGATTTTCCACCTTTATTTGTCTACAATTACTCTCATAAAGCCTCTAATTTGTGTTGGTTTTGAATATATATTATCATTTTATTACATGTGCGTGTCTTTGTTTTGACAGTTCTTTAACAAACATTAGTATTCCTTTCTTATTGTGGGTCCTCCCATTGAACATTTTAACTGTAGTTTGATCAGTCATGCAGTATTACATTTAAAGGTCATATAATTCACATAAGAGCCCACAAAGAAAACAACACACACAAACTGGAGCCAAAAGATGCCATTATGTGTTATATAATTAAGACTAGCTAATTATGGTGTTATTAAGGATGTTTCACTACATAAGAAAGAACCGCTATCTGTTGATTTGTCCTTTGAAGTTGTCCTTTGAAACGATCATCCACTCATGTTCAATCTTGGTGGTCTTCTGAGGACTTGAGGGTCTTGATGAGGCCTTGAGTAGACCTGTTTACAGCTACTGCACAGATTCTTCTCGGTTTAACCCTCACATTCTGTTGGGGTCAAATGACCTTTCCTGGAATGGCCCAAAATACATAAGATTAATTTAAAAATATTCATGTGTATTTTTGTATATGTGCTACACATTTTTCCCCTCTGAGGCTATTACAGGTCAAATTTGAAATAGATATTCTTCTCCAAAATACGTATTTCACCAAAACCGAGTGGTGTTAAGACTGAAAAAATACACTTTCACTGCTCTTTGAAACATTAAGGAAGGACTAATCAATATTTTTTTTGTAGCATAGGTCATTCAAACATTATAAACAGGTCTGGGGTTAGAACTTTGGTGAAAATACTTGCGACATGGGCTAATTTCTGGGCTGTGTCAATTTTGACCTGGATACTACATACTGTGAGGGTACAGGATTCGAACAGCATGTGAGGGATAAACAGAGATGCAGCCTGTTTAAATGAAGCAACACATATTCCTAGTCTTTTCTCACTCTCGAGTATATATGTTTTTTTTGCTCAGGACAAAGTTATCAGTCACCAGCTGTTTTTAAATTTCTGTGGATTTGAATATTTGTTCTGCCTGGAGGAAACTTTTATTTCACGGTGTTGTGATCGTCAGAGGTCTTACGTGGCCACCTTGTTACAGCTGCAGGGAGATTTCCTCCTGGGAATTCAGGTGTAGGAGGCCAGCTGTCTCCTTGGGAACCAGTTGTTCCAAACAGTGCTCTGGTGTATTTCATTAACCTTAACAGAGCTGTGTGTTGGGCTGAAATGCTGAGCTCTCAGTTAAGCTGCTGCCCTTCAGGTGTGCTTCTCTACTGAAGCGCGTTTTTAAAGGCAGAAGATATTTTGTTTAATGGGGGGGTGGGTAACATTTTAGGTGCTGAGTAAACTGGGTGAAACAGGTTCTTGCGTCCTAAGGCACACCTTGTTGGACAAACAGACTGAAGATCCTGGAAGGAGCCCTGGCAGTTTATGTGCTATTTACTCACCAAACTATGAGTGGCTCTCTCCCTGTAGTAAAAGACAACCCTGCCCTCTCACAAAGCTGTCAAGGAGAAACAAGGGTTGATGCTTCCTCTGTTTTAAGTGTTCATGTATGAGGAGTGTTTATCTGCACTGTGTAGAGCTGGATATTAACCAGTTGTCATGGCAACCCCACAATTAATCTGAAACTGGCGCTGCTTTGTCCTTGGGTGAAAGCCCTGTGAATCAGATTGGTATCTGCTGAGCAGTGCCGTGAGTTAAAGCTGCAGCAGCCTGTGTCAGTTGATGTACGGCTGATGACTGGCAGGTCAAGAAAGAGCAGAAATCTTGTTTAAGATGTCGAAGCATTGCTCTTGAGTCAGAACAGGGATAGTAAGAGGCAGCAGGAGGGTGACAGACGAAAGACTGACTGCCAGCAGCATCTTGGCGAAGACCAAATGCCTCACACTGGTTTTTTGATGACAACTTAGTCATTCAGCAGCGTTTCAAGATGCTCATGTGGTTATTAACAGTTTCTCTGACTGGATTTTTGGTGCTTCTCACTCAGAGACATCCCAGTTGTAATTTTGCAATTACAAAAGTTCCCCTTTATTTGGTAAAATAGTAGTTGTATCCTTTTAAAAGCTAAACCTCAGCCTCCCAACTTCTACCTTTTTGTGCATAAATGAGAACAACTTTTTTTATAAGCCTCTTACTCTTCACAGCTAAGATTTGACAGGCACATTATTTTCTGAAGACTTAAAGGTGCTGTAGTTTGCTTTATCTCCGGGAACAGGCACTGTGTCAACAAAGTATCCAGGGAGGGATCAGTGTCTGCGTCACTCTTCTCCCACGTCGAGCAGATGCCACAACACAAGGCAGAAGTTAAATATAGACTGAAGGAAGTAGGAAATGTCGTTTAACAGGCAGTGTCCTTTTCTTTTCAGTTCCTGTTTGGTGAAAAAATCACTCTATGCATCATGATAGACAGCAGGAGAAACGTGCTCTGCCCATGACGGAGGGCACTTGTCTTTTTGGTGACAAATTATGATGAATAAACACGACCTGAAGGAACTGCTCAGACAGAGAATTGTCTTTATCTGTCAGTTTTGGTGTTTGTGTGGATGTTTTTGTGTTTGTGTACACCAGTCCCCTCCTTCATGTTGATGTTATTTTTTATGTCTTACAAGATCAAACATTTATTTTCATGTTGAATCAGCATCAACCTCTTTCTTTGTGCAGACAGTGATAGAGTCATATCACAGTGAAAGCTCTGGGTACACATCAAAGATGCGGACCTATTGATCCACTTGACTTATAATGACCTGACCCGCTGTGATATCAGTCTTCACTGCTTCTCCATCCAACATCTCTGCTGTGTGTGGATACGACAATGATGTCTCTGGGAATTCTTTTGCATCATTCTACCCCGTTTCATGATTTCAGTCATGGATTTTTTTTTCTTGTTGTCTCCTTTTCTTTTTTTCTTTTTTTTATTTGTTCCTTTTTTTTGTTTTTTTGTTTTTGTGTTTGTCGATTTCCCCCCTCCTCCATTTCTGTGCAGGCTGCAAAACTGCAGTGGAGCTTAGATGAGAAGGTAGGGAGCTCCAGAGGCACCAGGGTGAGCAGGCCATTTGTGCTTTGTGTATGTATGTGTATGTTAGTGTCTAGTGCTGCTCAGTGGTTTGACCGTACACTATGTGGCATTAAATCACATTTTATCACTTTGCGGATACTGTGAAGAATTAGACACTTAATCGTAAAGGCAAACCACTGTGCTGCATGAGTCGTGCTCTCTGTTAACTTGGCTCCTACTAACTTTCCATTGAAGGAGTCTCTCTTACCCACAAAGTTTTGGAGATTTCCTTCAGATAGTTTACTTTGAGCAGTGCTAACAAAGTAGCAGATGGCTCACACTTAGGTCCTAGTGGGTGTTGAGTCGTAATAACACTGTGTCATACTAATCATTATTGTCTAATGCATTCACATGCAGATTTTCACCCCTGAATTTGCTGTATAACCTCCAGCAGTGTAAATCACCATTATATTCCTATTTCCTCTTTCCAAGTGTCAAAGCCGTCTCTGTTTGCTCAAACAAAGGAAATAGCTCCCTCCCTTTCAAAGCGTAAAGTTTCCTTATCACATTCTTAAGAGGAGTCCAAGCCCAAAGTTTCAGGAAGCTGAATATCATGCTGCTGTTTACATTTTACAATGGGTGATACAGATCTTTTGCTGAGAGTCCAGCAACTGTGTAAGCTGCTCGCCTTAAATGAAACAAGAGGCTTTTTCACGGCACAGACAGGAGTCGAATTCAAGCCTGTCTGGTGTAGGAACACATACGGTTTGCCAAAGTAAAATCTATTCAGGCCAGGTTTCCCTCTCGATTAATTCCTTACTTATGTTTTTTTTCCCCCTTTTTCTTACCTCACTGATCCTCGAGCAGGAAGGCAAACATGAGTGAATTGAATTAAGGAAAACACATAAAATAGATGGAGTGCCTTGCAACTTAGTTCCCCTCGCTGTTCAGAGCTTGACTTCAGCCTCTGTTCATTGTGGCAGGGAAGAGTTTGCTCAAGCATTTCCTCCTGCACAGATCAGAAGAAGTCACTGTTTGGGTTAGGCTTCAGGCTGGTAGCAGCTGTGCTGTTGTAGTTCCTTTCAATGAACCCCACCATGGCAGGAGACTCAGTTGTAGGTTTCTTATTAACTGGCTCTTTACTGCTGTGTTTGCCGTGTAGTTCCCCGTCAGCATCCAGATAAGAGGAGGTTGTAGTCAAATCGTGGACACTAACCCTCCTAACATAGCAGTGTTTGTCTCCCTCTACTGACTAGACTTTAACCTACATCGTCTGAATTTAACACCAAAGTGATAATCTCACTTGTCTACTACATCTCCAACAAAAGTCCTCCCTTCCTCCCTTTGTTTTTGTTCCTTTTTTATTGTTTCTGCACTTTAACTTTGCAGGACTTACAGCAGGTGATGGTATCAGGTCCCAATCTCAACGAGACTAGCATTGTATCAGGTGGTTATGGAGGAACAGCAGAAGGAATCATCCCCACCAGCTCAATCAAAGGTACAGTCCCATTTTCTCCACCGTCACTGTTCTGTTTTGACTTCTGGTGCCTCAATAATTTTCCCCACCAGATTGTGGAGGAGTTAATTTGCTGTGGTTGGGAGTCTAATTTGCACTGATTAATACAAATCCTGGTCCTCTACTGTATCTAAAAATATTCTCAAGTCGTCTGTATTCCCCAGTGATGATGTTTTTATCTGAAGACATGGAAGAAAACAGGGTTGCAGAGTGAACTCGAGTGGTTTCAAAAACCATTCAGGGGCTGTTGAGTGCTTATTCTTGTGGAGATAATATAACTGGATTAATTCCCACACTGCATCTTCTGTTTTGAGTTATTTCTTCATCTTTGTTTGATGATGACAGCAGAAGACACAAAAAGTAACGAGAGAGAGGGGATGGTGTACAATAAAGAACCTGTGTTGAAAACAAACCTGAGCTTTTCCTGGATGAGCCTCCAAAAATATCTTAAAAAAGCAACACTCACCACTACAGTGAAGACTAGGCTTCATGGAAATATTGTGTTTTGGGCTGTTTAACACACTGATGATTATCCAAACTCACTGTGTTGCTCTTAACTCTACAGAAGGACAAGTTTGGTGTCAGAGCCTCAGATTAATCTGTGCAGTTCCCATCAAAGCAATGAAATGAAGAATAAGAAATTGAGTTCTTACATGCTGTCTGAAGTTGAAGCTGTATCATCTCATTTAAGGCATTGACTTCAGCATTGTGACTGTTTGCACAGGGGCAAAAAGGAAACAGCAACCCTCTTTACTCTTAAATCTGTACTAATACTAACATCTCTGTCCCACTCCCTCCCTCTCTCTCTCAGGCCCTGCTGTGCGCTACAATGCAGAGTTTAACAAAAGGATCCCAGTTAAAGGATTAGGTGGATTATTAGACTTAATGAGCGTTAATAATGGGGAGCCTGTTTCCAAAATGTGATGTCATATTGTTTGGTTTTTTATGTACTCCTGAACATCCTGTCTTTAGATGATATCAAGTCAACAGTGGACCTTTATCCATTGCAGAGCTATAACACATAACATGAGTTGATCTGTTTTGAATAATCATGCTCAGATTATAGACATCACATTTTGAGAAGATGCTCGTCATTCTGACTTTGTCTTTTTTTAGACAGTTTTGGACGCTGTTTTTCTGTCCCTTTTTAGCTCAATCAAATTTCCACTTTATCAGCAGAGAGATGGGCAGCAGGCTTATTTCTGGGTGCTGCTCTGCTTTGTGGCTTTTCTCTCTTTTAACTAGGTCTCTCTTCACACATCACTTCCTTCTTGGTGTTTAGGGGGGCACTTTATTGCTTTTTTTCCCCCTCAAATTGCTCAATGAACTGATTCTCCTCATGTCTTATCTATGTGCATACTTGTATAAAACCTGAGTACTAATGCCAAAAGTCAAGTATTACTGCGAACAAGTTGTATTTATTAATTCCTCTGACACTGCTTCATCATTTCCATTAATTGTCTTCATTAAAAGCCCCACCCAGCTTATTCAGTGTCATACTTTCAAGTACTGCCGCAAACCAAACCGCCTCGTCTTCATCATCACTCATCAGTCCACATTGTTCACATGTCATGCACTAAATACTGTCTTTTCATCTTTGTACCTGTCTATCTTTGTCCTCCACCTTTTCTTTTACCATTCACTCCCATCCACCCATCCCTTTTAATTTTTTCGTCCCATCTTTGGCATGTTTTTCATCATCTTTAATTCCCAAATATCTGATTATTTTAAAATCCTTATCCTGAAAAAAAAAATCCTGTTATTTAAAAATATCGCCACCCCATGTCCTACCCTAATCAATTACCACCCTGAACCATTAACTCATTAAAACCCCACCACCTGACCCCCTCACCCGCTGTCACAGACCTGCGTATGAAGGCCAGACGAAGTAGCGTTCCCCCATCCACTACTTTCCTCTGCCGCATATCAAGTGAATCAAATGAATACAAAGGTACTGGGGAGGAGGGGTGTAGATGATACCCAGACAGGGTTAATGTTGGCAGTGAGCTGAAACAGCTCAATTTAAAGATTTGATGTCTATATTATTAAGGTGGTTTTACTGAGTCCTTTTCATTTCATTACTCACTCCATTGCTCTGTCTCACTTGTATGCATATTTTAGAGAAATATTTTGGCGTGTAGTCAGGGACATGGGTAAGAAAATAGCAGATTATGCTTAATTCTGCTTTGACTGAATGTAGCACAGTTTTAATGAATTCTTTATTTGGTTTAATCTTTCCTGGGCTTTATCTTCTGTCTTCACTGTAACTTATTTTGTGTGTTTAAGTTGTTGTTTTTTTAATGTTATTTCATGTTTACACTTTGGTTTTATTTTTCAGGCTCCAACATGCATCACAGCAACAGCAGCTCCTCAGGTATGGCTGAAGAAACAACCCGCGGTGTGGCTGTGGAAAAAATAGAAAATATGAAGAAGTGGGGTCTTAACACTTACAAGGTACGCAGACTTGACTGACCAAGAAAATCCCTCAGAATCAAAAGATTTTTTTGGGACGTCTCCATGCCTTCAGACAGTATAATACAATAACTGAGATGAGCTGCAATCAGTCCTAAATGGAACTGTCTTCTTCTTTCGTGGTTTTAGTGCACAAAACAAATGATCTCGGAGCGTTTTGGTCGGGGTTCCCGGACTGTAGACCTGGAGCTGGAGGCCCAGATTGAGGTGCTGAGAGACACTAAGAGGAAATATGAGAATGTGCTGCGACTGGCCAGAGCGCTGACCAATCACTTCTACAACATGGTGCAGACGCAGCACGCGCTGGGTGACACCTTCGCCGACCTCAGCCAGAAATCTCCCGAGCTAAGGGTGAGGCTTTTAGAGTACTTTATGATTTAAAGTAACATTTTTGATATGATGGTGTAGCTGTTAACTTTATTTAGACAAAGATTATAGGCGTTTATAAATGTTCTTTAAATTCGCAGCATTAATCTCTTGGTTGTCTTTATAGGATGAGTTTGGCTACAATGCAGAGACACAGAAGTTGCTGTGTAAGAATGGAGAGACTCTACTTGGTGCCATTAACTTCTTTGTGTCAAGCATCAACACCCTGGTCAACAAGACCATGGAGGACACCCTGATGACCATCAAGATGTATGAAAATGCAAGGTAAGAACATGTAGTACAAAAAAAAAGGGTTTTCAGCTTTATCTTGGCTCTATTAGTTTTACTCGATCAATTACTGGACAGTGACTGAGAGACTGACCAATTAGAGTGCGTTGTTGCTGCGTCCTGAGTAATGAGTATAGAAATAAGGCCTTGTCTTCAGAGCCTTAAAAACTGTATTTTTTTTCTTCCTTCTTAAACAGACTGGAGTTTGATGCTTACCGGTCAGACCTGGAGGAGCTGAGTCTGGGTCCAAGGGATGCTGTAGCGATGGCCCGCATAGAAGCTGCTCAGCAACAGTACCAGGTCCAGAAGGACAAGTATGAACGCCTCCGCTCAGACGTCACCATTAAGCTCAAGTTTCTGGAGGAGAATAAGGCAAGTAATGAGGATGAGCCTGCGTATTTAAAACCTGAAGAACAAAAGTGTCCAAATGTGACTAAATTTCTTCCTTGGACTCTCTCTTTCTCAGGTCAAAGTGATGCACAAGCAGCTCCTCCTCTTCCATAACGCCATCTCAGCGTACTTTGCAGGCAACCAGCAGCAGCTGGAGCAGACGCTGAAGCAATTCAACATAAAGCTGAGACCCCCAGGGGCCGACAAGCCATCCTGGTTAGAGGAGCAGTGAGAGGGTCTGCTACAGCCTCCTTCTCGACCACCTCCACCTGTTACTTGTTGAAAACCCCCTTACTTACAGAGGACCACATGCAGATAAATGGGTGGATGAAGATGAAGATGAAGATGTGAGACAGGCTTGTGGCTGGATAATTGGACAGATGATAGACAGATGTCAGAGGATTTGACTGATGAAATGCAGGGTATTATTAATGAATGGGCTGAATGCAGCAGGAAACCAAGTGGCCAGTTTCATGAACGGTCTGGGGGCTCTTAGTGCCTCTCCCCAGCTTCCTTTTTTGTCACTCTAACCTCTTTGTGCTTTGTTCCCAGAGAAACTATTCGTCACTACTACCCTCCCTCCTATCCCACTAACCCTCTCTGCTGTCTCGACACTATTTTGCTGTGTGAGCTCGTTTCAGTCATGATCACGGCCATTACTTTACTCCACAAGTGCTCCCAGAGATAAACTTCAGATCTTTTTAATCCCACTGTTAGATAAGAAACGGAAGAACGAAGCAATTGAAACAAACTCAGATGTTTGAGAAACACCGCATCAAAACTCTTCCAGACATTATCACTCTTCTCGTGTGCCTCCTTATTTATGAGCTAGTCTACTTAGAGTGCAGCCTGCAGGAAAAAAAAGTGTGTTCAGGAAAAGATTTCAAAGCGGAGATGAAACAGTTTTTTTTACGGTACACTGGAAAAGAAAAAGTCCAGACATTATAAATTGATGTACATTTCAGATGAAGTGCAGTTTCACTTTCAAATAACTTTAATATGATTTTGTTTAGTTATCAAGAACACTTCGATTTTATAAGATTAGTTCATTTTTAGTTTGTCATTTCTTGAGGTTTGTACTCATTTTAGTTCTAGTGGGCTGTGCTTGAGACTGAAAGTTAACTTTTCAGGTGTTATGTGCCGGTGTTTCAACACTACAGATACTGCAGTGCTTAGTTTGTGTGTATCAGAAATGATTCTGTTTTAAACTGTGTCCTGAAACTCTGACCCTATATGCAACCATCATATAGGAACACTGCCACGGCTCCCCAAAGTGACACTGGTGTGGGTCTTAAAGTCGATTTTTACTCTGTTTACCAAGAAGAAAACTGAAAAACATGTTAATAGGAAAATGACTATTTGCTCAAGGTTCGTAGGTGGTTGAGCAGCATCGATGAGTTTAATGTCACTGTGGACTGAGACAATAGATGGGCTATTAGCTGAGATCCAACAGACTTGAATGGATCTCAGATCAATTCATCATTTAATTGATGAGAAACAACAATGAAATGTGTTTGTGTCTATAGCTTGTTCGTCTTTGTAGAGTCAACAAGGAAAATTCGCCAATATCCAGGTTCACGTCTTTCATTCCTCTTAAAATAAAAGATTATCTTTCTTCACACTGAAGATTACTGTAACTGTCTAATATTACTAATCCCAATTGTCCAACATTAAATCTTGTAAATGAGTAGTTTGGTGATGTGACAACACTACTGATACATCACTTGTTTGTGTGACCTCCTGAGATGCCATCTTAGTGACCATGTAGTCAACAATCATTCATGGTTGACAATGAGAGGACGGCGAAACAACAGAATACCAGCATGGTACTACACATGTAATATTAAATTAATATCATCACTGTATTTATTGTGATTATTTTGGATGTTAAACTGTTTAAATCAACATTGTTTACTGAAACTTCTGGTTTTACAAATTAACTAATCATGTTTTGCAGAAAACACGAATCAGTGATGGACACTTTTCCCAAAAACTTCTAAAATGAAGATAATAAGGGTGTCTCAGTTTCCTGGTGTCAACCCTCTGAAGTCAAATGAAGATAATCCAGTGTATTTAATGTATAACTGTGCTGAATGGGGGCCTCTGGCAACAGAAGGTAGAGCTTTATCACTTTATGAGCCAGTCCTCCAGCTTCTTGTCTCCTCTGTATTTGCATGGCAGGCAGCGATCCAAAGTATACGTGCAGATATGTGTGAATGCTCGACTCTTGGCCTTTTGCGTCCTGGCTCGCACGACATGCTTAAAGGTTGTTGATTTCGATTTCTGAGACAAAAGCAAAGTACTGGCATTAACATTTTGTGCTGCACTCTGGAAGACAATGACAGAAAAATGATCTTGAATATTGATTTTACAACAAGTGTAATCTTTTTCTCTGAGCTCCTGGATAATTGTGTCAAATGAGTGTATTTTTTCAAGATGAAAAGGTCACTTGGCAAGACTTTGGCTTTACATACGGTAAAAACTGTAATTACTGTCCAGTTTTTGGTCTGTTTGACTGCCACACAGCAATATATATTTAAAAAATGTGACTCCTCTTTCCCAAACCTGCCCCTTCACAATTCCTAACCCTAACACCAAAAAATGGCAATAGGATTTTCTTCTGTTCTGTGGATGTGAAACCTCCAGTAAATTCAAATACGTATGACATTCAAGCGCGGCAGTGACAGCCGTTCTTATTAGCCTAGTCTTTACATTGTTGCCTAGAAAGAACTAAGATTTATAAAATGAGATATTTTATTTGTGTACAATCAGAGTTTTCTAGGCTGAGCTGGTGTATTGTACTGTATGAATGATTGCACATAATGATATTTAAGATGATAAATGAAGTTGTGTCAAGGATTGATGTGATTCTCTGCCTTCATTCCTCACTCAAACCTGGAAGTCCCACCCCAACCTCCAAGGGAACAAAATTAAAAGTACACATTTTCAAATGCCCCAGCTGTTTGTCTTCTTTTTGTCATTTCATCTCAATATATCCCATTATTTCCTAGAGAGCATAGTCATGCATGCTGACAGAAAACCAACATTTTCTTCTTGCAAACACAAGCTCCATATTCCCATTGTGCTTGTTTCAGACTTTTATGGTTTAGGTTTTGTTGTATTAGAAATATGGTACATCAGTGGACGTGAGGACAGGTCTACTTTTAATTCTTCGGTTTTTAGACTTTGGAATAGTAAATCACACGGTTTTTTAATGATGCCCAATCCTACTTAACCTCCAAAGTTTGATAGTAATCCAAAGTTTGGGGGTGCTAATAAGTCAACCAGCTAATTTGACTTTGAATAGGACTTGCTCAGTTTTAGGATTTGCCTCTCCGCCATGGGGCGTTTCCATACCTGGACAGTGAGTTTTGATTGGTGGTGGCGCGCGCTGCACCTGTGTCCATTATTCACATACAGACTTGGCTCTCTGAAGGAGCACGAGGCGTCGGAGTGAGGATTTAAGTGACAGCTGAAATTTAAAAGCACGGTGAGAAAAAAACAGTTTGTTACTCTGACAACAAAATCTCCACCTGTTTAACCAGAAGTTTCATGTTTTTGTCGCGTAGAGTTTTTAAAGTTGATAACATATCTTGGTATTAAAGTATTGAAGAACTGACGGCGAATTCTGGTTTAAAAAGTTTGCATTTTGGCTTTAAAATGACGAGTTTGGAGGCAAACGCATCGATTCAGCCTTTTCTAACTACACTTTTTGAGTGGCATGGGATAACTTGTATTCGGCGTATAAATATCCAACCAAACGTGTCATGTTTCTGGTCAGTTACATTTGATAATTGTTGGTTCGTCTGCAAGAAGCTCCTCATTGAATGACCCAGAATCACATGTAATGTCAATTTTACCAGTAAATAACTTCTGCCCGATTGCTTCCACCTATGCCGAAGAGATCAAAACTTACTATGAAGTTAATTCAGATATAATTCAAGATGACTGAGACTTTACTTTTTACTTTAAAGGAAGAGTCATAAAAGAGGTTACTTTCCTTACCAGGATTTGTGATGGATATGGAACACCCTGTTGTTGTTTATCAAGGAAAACCATACAGATATTAATGGCAGTGAAGCCTAAAATTAAGCTTTTTTTCTGTGATGTTCCAGGGGAATCTCTATGGTTCAATATTGACCAACCACAGTAGCTATTGTGCTTCTCAGGTTTTTCATGTCATTGGGTGCCCAAAATAACTATAAAGAAACCAAATTAAACTCCCGAAACCTTTTCCAAATATGTCATTAAATTTACCTCTTAACATTCATAAAGCTTTTCTATTTCTTTAAATTAACGGCGCACATTTGATAGATATTAAATTGTATTTTTTCATGTCTCCTTAGATCTGACTGGCTAACTAAAGGACCCTTCCACCTGTCATCTTTGGATCTGAGAGATCAGATGGAGGGAGTGCTGATTGTCAAATCTGCCTCTGATCCCAACCTTTCCTCTCTAAGCTCTTCATTCTTTTTACCCAGTGCTGAGAAAGATTTAGATGCCCAATCATCTTCCTCTGACCCTTCTGCCATGTGTGTGACCTCTGTACCACCACCACCACCACCTCCTCCACCACCACCTCTACCTCCTCCTCCTCCTCCTCCACCCCCACCTCTTCTTCCTCCTTTTGGATCTCGTAGTGAACAACGTCGTTCTATGAAAAAGCTGAACTGGGACACCATCCCCAGCCAGCGTGTCCTGGGCAAACATAATGTCTGGACAACAAAGGGGACTCAAAGGGACCTGGTCCTAGATATCCAGAGCATGGAGGAGCTATTCAGTCATGTTGACAAACGTGCCTCAATACGCAACTCAAGGGTTATGGGTCTGAAGAACAGTGAAGGCTTGGACCTCTTTCCACCGGAGCCTCAGGTGAATAGCCACCAAATAAAATAACACTTAGTTGAAACACAATGTTTGTTTCCAGTGAACTTTACCAATCATCTGTAGTGTTTCCTGGCATGAAAACACACACAGTGCAGGCTAGCTGGGGAAGTAATGAAGAAACAAACAGGAACTACTTTTAAGAAAAGCCAATAAATCATTGTATGCAAAAAGGAACCACTGAATTCAAACTGCAATTGCTTCCTCAACAGTGGTGTGATGTAAAATGTGCCTGTCATTTCATGTAAAATTAGGTGTTTTACAGAGGAAAGTTTTTCTTTTCTTGTCACTAACAGCCTCCTTTTCTTATCGCTTCAGGTCACAATCCTGGACTCTAAAAAGAGTATGAACATTGGGATATTCCTCAAACAATTCAAGAGGTATGACTTGCCACTTTTAAGAGAGAGAGTGATGATATACCAGTGGAATAAGTCTCTAAAGTGATTGCTGATAAATGATGAAGGCACAGCTCGAACTAAAACTGCATCATTTTATGTAAAACATAGATTTAGAAAAATGTTTCCAACACAGTAGTCATTTTGACAGAGTTAATCATTACCCGGTTAGCAGGCTCTTTATCTCAGTCAACTATATTCAAATCAATGAAAACGTCTTGTTTAAATTCAATTCAACAGCAGTCAGTATTCATAATAACACATTTCTTTAAACAGTAATGACTCATTCATGAATACTTAAATTCATAAGAAACCATGGTGCTGACCCAGTGGTAAAGCTTGTATAGAGAGGACGCGCTCAGCAAGTTTGTTGACATGTTTGATCGAAACTATTATGTACCTTTTGTATTTTAAATTTGACCAAGTTAAATCCCTATTCTTTCCATTTAAGGAGATTTTTGTGCCGCAGGAAAATGTGCGCTCATTGAGTTCCTGTTTATATACTCGCATGGCCAATTACATTTGTAGGAGCCCTCAGGCGGTTGTTCTAGCATTTTCCCATTATTTCACTTTTACATTTGCTCAGTCACACAGTTTTCCAATCACTAACAATAGTCACACTCAGAGAAATTTGTATTTTTTTATATTAATGAGATGTTTTATATGTCACCAGGGAGGCAGGGGAAACAACAGAATATATGTCAGAGAGTGAGGGAGGAAGCTGTTTTATTTGTTAATGGTAAAGTAACGTGACTTCACATGAATCAACATGTGATTTTATTGCCTGTACTAGGTCAAAATGATTGCCATCAGTTGTGGTCATTTATGATAACAACACCCATGATTGTCTACTCCTTTTTGGGGTCATGAGTGAAATGACTCTGTACTGATGGCTGTTGATAGGAAGAAGATACAGAGCAGTTTTTTAAGCTCTTCGGAATTTTAAGGATGGATGTTTATCTGCCTTTGTAACCATTTTCAAAACTCTTTTACAACACAGCATGTAAAAGTATGATTCAGACAGTGTTCAGGCCTATTCCAGACACTGAAGTTTCAACACCACAAATGTAAAAATTGTTGTATGAAGGAATGTTAAAGCTCCGGGGAGGCTCCAGGCTGAATTTAATACTGATGTCTTTTTTTGACATAAAAAAAAGCAAACAAGACCATCAGTGATCAGACTGATGATTTTTGTGCTTTATATTTTAATGCGTGAAACTGGTGCAATGGGGTTGGTGTCAGCAGGGCCTCTGGAAAAAAAACAACCCTTTTGTTTTACATTTACATTACACACTCATGTTAAATGGTTGTAATGATCATTGTTGCCATATACAGTAATTGTGTCATCCTCACTTCATCTTACCATCTTCATCATCGTGATTAATGTTTATTTTTTATATCAAGCTCTTCATTCATCCAGAATGTATAGCAGACTGTTCTGGTAAACTGAAACTTAAGCATTTGATCCGATCTCTGTCTGAAGCCTATCAAATTGATTTCACTTTCAGTCAAACGCTCACTCAGCTCTTCATTTGAATACCAAATGCTCTCTGAATGTGTGCCAGCAGCTAAGTACTGTATCGATGTCTGCTTCATGGTATCAAATTCAAATTGTGTAAACGTCAGTGTGTTCGCCGAAGTGCATTTGATGATGCTATTTGAGGTCCTTTAAATGACTTAGTAAAATCCTAGTGTTTCATGTAAAGTGTGGCATGTTGACAGAATGCTTTCACTGGCAGCTATCTGCAGCAGAGAAGTGCAGTAGACATCTGTCTGCCTGAGCATATGTCTCTGACAGAGTCAATAACCATTACATTTTTGATTATTTAAGTTCATTAATGTCTGCTGGTTGCTTGTCTCCAGAGTTTGGCTTTGTCATTGCTCACCTTGCAAGTCATAGTTACACTCCAACAGCCTCTAAACTGCAACATTTTCTTAAATCATCGAGCACAAAGACATGATATTAAGCAGATGAACAACCTCAATCAGGTTTCTGTTATGTTTTACACATAGATTTTTGTGTGTGTGTGTATTTATAAAGCAAAAAAAGAAGTAGCATGACTCAGCAGGAAAGATGAAATCTGACTGAGTTTTACATTCAGTCAAGTTTTAGTCTTGAAAAATACAAATTAGAAGGACGTGTGCTTTGAGTCTTAAACTCTGCTGTATGTCAGATTCACACTTTATTTCACCTCAAGTGTCTCACAGCAGAAGTTTAGAATTTATACTTTTTAAAATCACACTAGATGGCTGAAACTAGCGGCTAAATACAGCTAAAAGCACGACTTGATGAACTGATTCATAGTTAACTGTGACAAGCATTGCTCAATATTTCTCTTGCAAATTCAAAATCAGTCAAGTTATCAATATGACAATAAGCCTAAACTCCATAACTAAAATAACCTAACTGCTATACAAAACAGTGACAAGAAATGACATTAACCACATTTACGTGTTTGATTATGTGTTCACTCTGGCCTTGAACACTGTGATATTTATAATTTGTTTTAAAAAGGATCTAAATACCTTCTCAGTTATGACCTAGTAGGACTAATAATGTGATAAACTTTGCTGACATTTACAAGGCTGCAGTTAGGACAAGCACCTGCTGTCACTGTTGTTTGTTGTCTCCCTCTGCAGGCCGGTGGAGGACATGGTCCGGGACATTCAGCAAGGGAACTGGCTCAGATTTGGAACAGGGAAACTAAAAGAGCTTTGTAAACTGCTGCCAGAAGACGGGGAGGTAACAACATCACAATGTCTTCTTCGCTTCTTTTCACTTCTGACACTGAGGTGTCAGCAGGTATCCTCCTGAATCAGGAGAATTTTAGCACTTCTCTGATGAAATGTTATTTTATTGTTATAAGTGAATGACAATGATATAAATCGCAGCTCTTTGTGTCCATGCACAGGTGAAGCAGCTCCAGTCATTCAGTGGGAACCTCTCTGTGTTACCTGAGGCAGACCGGTTCATGGTGCAGCTTGTCAAAGTACCAGGGTGAGTGGATGTCTGTTTTCTTCTAGATGCTACATTTCTGCGTCAGAACTCTAATCGCTTGTGTGCTACAATTTACACAAACTGTACATAAAAAAACGGGGAAATCTGAGCTCAAATTTTGATAACTCGTGTCAATAACTGCTATAATAACAATGATACATCAAAACTAACAGTATCTTACCAGCTGACCAATCATGAATAATTTTGTTGACGTGTCTTATCTGCAGCTATGAGGAGCGTCTGAAAGCGATGATGCTGAGGGAGGAATTCTTCCCTCTCATGGAGGAGGTGAAAAACTCTGTTACTGTCATGACCAAAGGAGCTGATGGTAACACAAACACAAATTCAAGCCATTCAGAGCCACCCTTTTAATACCAAGGTTAATGCTTCCTCGTTTTTTTCTTTTCCCTTAGAGCTGTTGAACTGCGACGACCTCCACTCAGTTATCCGGCTGGTATTAAAAGCTGGGAATTACATGAACGCTGTTGGTATTTTTCTCTAAAAGAACATGGTTTTATCACCTACACTTTAGTTATATTTTTAATGTCTATAGTGTTCTCTTTTTACCAGACATAAATTTAAAGCTCACTCCTAAATCTAACACTCCTGTAATCTGTTTCTCAGGGTGGTTACAGCGCCAACGCCATTGGCTTCAGGATGACATCTCTGCTCAAGCTGGCTGATACCAAGGCTAACAAACCAGGGATGAACCTCATGCATTATGTTGCTAAGGTGAGGAAGAGCCCTGTGATGGACAGATGATCATGAAACAAAATATGAAACTCTCTACTGTAATGCTGTGTTTTTAAAAATCGTGTATCTGATTTTCCTTCATGTTCCCCTCTGCTTTATACCCAAACAACAGCAAGCAGAAGACATTGATGCAGAGCTGCTGACTTTTCCCAGTCAACTTGAACATGTCAGCATGGCGTCAAGGTGGCTATCACAAGTATACTGAAGATCTATGCATATGAAATTATCTCTAAAACGGTTTGGGTTGTTAAGATTGGCATAGAATGATGATGTTTCATTTGCTTAGTTTGATGCGTCTTTCGATTTTGCCCCTATGTGAGTGTTTTAATGTTGCTCAAACAGAATTTGTAAAGAGGAGGTCATGTCAGACTTTGAGAGAGAAGTCAAGAAGATCAAGGAAGTGAAATTGTACAGCAGCAGACATCCTGGCCTCTTACAACAAATGGAGTCATTTTTTCTGGTGAAGTGTTGTCATATTTCTTGACTTTAACTAAGTAAAAGCTCTAAGATGTAAAGCAAATGCCTGTGATGATTTACCATGTTAGGTTTTTCCACTTTTTGCCATTAATATGTTCTAATTTCTCAGAGAGCTGAGGCTAAGCTGGTTGATGTGGAGTCCTCTCTTCAGGAGCTCCGTAGTGTGAGTGAACATGTTGCCGAGTATTACTGTGAGGACCCTGCTACCTTCAAACTGGGGGAATGCTGCTCCATCTTTCACTCATTCTGCAAGCGCTTTGAAGCAGCTGTATTGGTAAGGAAAAAAGGAAATGTAATAATGGCTGATAAAGCCGGTCACCATCAAACTACTACGACTCTCTTTCTTACTCGACTGTAGGAGAACAAAGAGCGGGAGGCAGCAGAGGAGAGGCGCAAACGCAGGGAGAGTGTGCGCATTTCATTCAAACGTCGCTCCACAGTATCCTGCCCCAGATCTGAGCCTCATCAGGATGACTCTAGTCTGGAGTCGGTCCTACACAACTTCCTTTCAACTGCTCCAGAGGGATTGTCCAGGTGCAGGAAGAACACGCTGCCTGTAATCAAAGGTTCCCCATCTGTGTGTAGCTCAAAGGTGGTTCCACTAGTTGGAAAACCAGATCCAACTCCTTGTACCGGACAAGAACAACCTGAGAAGAAACAACCTAAGCAGCAGAAAGAGGAGGACCCCTCTCAGGAAAACAAAGATGAAGCTGAGAAGATGCGTGAGGTAACTCTGAAGGTGCTTCAGTACCAAAACAGTAGTGAGGACAAAGTTAATGGCACTCCTAGACAATCTGAGAGACCTAAGGACACACAAGCTACCCCCAAAACCCCGAAGCCAAGAAGCAGAGACTTCTTCTTTGCCAACAACTCAAGCTCCCCATGGACCATCCTGAGCCCCTTGACCTGCCCCCAGGGGACCCCGATCACACGAAACAGAAGAGCACATCATTCCGGGCGACCCTTGTTATTAGGCGGAGACAACCTGCATGATGAAGTCTGGGAGAAAGACTTCTCTCACCAGGGCACTCAAACCTCTCCATCTCAAGGTTCTTCATCTCTTCCTGAGTGTCCCAGCAACAGAGCTGTGTCCCAGGGTCCCTTCCTCAGGTCTGTTTCTGTGGATGAAACCGGGGGATCACCAGTGGCTCATTCTCGACTGGGAGAACTGTTCCACAGAAGTATTTCCCAGAGGTCCCACTCCTCTGGATCAAGGACTGAAGTCATGAAAGAAGCCAAAGAAAGGGACTGGCTTGGCAGTAGAGCAAGGAATTATGCAGAGGGGCAGGTTAGCACCTCAGGGTTCAGATCCTTCTTCAGACGCATAGGAGGCAAAACTAAGCTGGGAGATGTAGATGATCAGCACTTTAAAGGATCTTATACTTGATGTCAGTCTTTTAACTCACAGAAAGAGAGCAAGCTTGTTCTTTAGATGCTATATTTGATATTGTCTTTTTTACTTTGCACTTATACTCCTCAGTGGAACCAAAGCAAATGGGGACTTGCTTTGGGTCTTGACTTTGAGCCGATAAATTCTCAATACTTTTCCTTCTTTTTTGTCTTTTGGTGTGAAATAAAGTGATTTCATTTTAATTTTACTTGTTAATAGACTGTGCATTGTACACCATTTATTCTCTGCTCGTATTGTCTAAATTTCTACTCTTTTATTCTTTTTATGTGAGCCTTGAAAGTTTGACTGGTTCTAACCAATCCTCCTACAGACTGAAGGTGCATCCATCTCTGTCTGTTCTGCAGAACTGAAGCCGAAGTACCCCTGAGAAAGGTGCTGCTGATATAATGCACTGGTGACGTTTGGAGCCAGTCTGCGCAGAAGGACTTGGCTAGTAGAGCCAATGAACCATAACCAAGTATTGCTATACGGTATTGCTAATTTTTGCACACAGAGACATATTGAATTTATTTTCTCTCATCATTTTTCCTCTATTCCATTATTCTAGTACTCACAGTCCCACAGGAGCAGTCATACTGTTATACCCTCTTTTTACTGCAGTCTTTGGAGAGGGCGGGTGTCCTGATCTTTACTCAGGGTTCCTACACAGTTGGAATTTCCATACTTTACCATACCCTACTTCTTAGAATTATTTTTGGAAATACCTACTTTGCTATTTTAGAAAACAGTATTTTAAAACTATGGTATTAGTCTTGAAACAGGAACATTTTTCCATTCTCTATTTTTCATTTTCCATACTTTTTTCAAGACCTGGGAATTGATCAAATTTATTCCCATACTTTTCCATCCTTGTGTAGGAACTCTGTTTACTACTGCCAGTCACCAGTGGAAGCTCTGAATATTTTGGCTTCACTTTACAGGAGCTGTTATGTCATCCATCTTGCTACACAGTCTGCTTTGGTCAGTGCAGCCAAGATCCTAAGGTGATGTCTGACATCTCCAAATCCAATGTCACAGTTGCCAGTGACCCAAGGAAAATTGACATCAACAATAATTGTAACTGGCTTCAAATCCAAGTTTTAAAATCTGACTGGTTTTGCCAACACTTTTTAAGCACGTCTATAATATTTTAAAGAGATAAAGAATGAGCCTTAGCTGGTGATGGTGCATTCAAGCAGCTGTGAACATTTTTACCCTGGAGCCAAAATCAGCAGGTGTACTTCTCACATAATCAGAGCAGGTGAGACAGACCTCATCTATTTCAAACTGTTCACATCTCACACAACTTGTTAGGCAGTAAAAAACAGTGAAGCAGAAGTGTCCACTTTATTTACATCGGCGTCAGTGTGAGATCATACAATGACGCGCAAAGGATCTTTCCATTTTCTTAAAGTGTGTGATTTCCCATTATTTCCTAAACTTGAAGTGTAGACACCTTCAGATAAGTCCTCTTGTGTATGTAAAGCAGGGATCATTTATAAACTCCTGTTGTCTGAGCCTGGCTTTGGCGTCGACGGCACAGTTTCCAGTACTTGTATTTCACTTCATCTATTATTTCTTCTCCAGGTCACTTCAACTTGAAGACATTTCTAGTGACAGAGAAGTTCCAATTTTATCTTTAAGGTCTTTTTTTAACCTCTAACACACTCAAAACAAAGACAAGAAATGGCCAGATTAGTTATTTAAAACTGCCATTCTTTTAATAAGGCCAAATTCTTATCCTATGCTGTGATCACACATAAACTATTTGAGCAGGACTTGTTGCTGTTGGGCAAAGGCAACCCAGCACCACCACTGTGCCAGCCTCATCCCTCTGCTGAGCAGTTGCTTAGATTTTAGACAGAGAAGAAAGAGACATTCAGCTGTGTTACTTGGGCAACAGGATTTGTTTACAGCCATTTTATTTGAGCTCTCAAGAGTGTAATAATACTCCTTGAAAAAAAACTGCTCAATGCAGGCTCCTTTCTGGCTGATCTGTTGTCCTCCCACATCTATCCCTCCCACTGGCCAGCGCTGAATGGGGACATTTTATCCTGGCATTTAAAATCTAGAGGCACAAGAGGGAGTTTGGAAAATATGATTGGCTTTTAAAGGAATTAGACTACATTTCAGCCCTGAAAATTAAGGCCTTTCTCTTTGTTCGAAGCTTTCAAGCTCTCCCTCGTGTGAGCAAAACAAAAACTCAAAGTGAGGCCTTGTACACAAGCACAGATAACAATGTGGTACTTGGAACAGAGTGTGAGCAGCAGACCTGTTTGATGTAAAATGAGCGCTCCAAAGCACAATCAGGCCATTGTGATAGAAAGTAGAGTGCTGCTGAGGAGCATCTCATGTGAGTCAGCTCCTGAGGACTCGACATGACCTGCTGTCTCTCACCAGGGCCGAGCTAATCAACTGTGTGCTCAGAGTTTCTGTGTGTGTAGATGTGTGTATGTGTGTGTCGAAGTGAAAGATGAGAAACGGGCTTGAATAGGGTGGAGAAAGGAGGTGGGTCGGGGGAAACTTGTACTGAGTGAGATAGGGAGGGAGAGCTGCAAGTTGTGTTGTGAGGAAGTATTTAAGCAGAGAGGAGAGAGGAAGCAAACATCTTCAGGGCAGAGAACAGAGTGAATGTACAAGTGAAAAGTCAGTACTACTAACAGATGAAAGGAAAAGCTCAAACGGCAACAATCCTGGATTATTTTTTTAGCTGGGTGCCGGTGTCTGGACCTTTAAAGGTAGATAATTTACATGTTTCCTAAAAGCATAGTATTTACATTAGCTATGCATATTTTAAGTTATCTCAACATTTTAAGCTAAGCAGCATTAAACACAGGCAAGAATTTCCTACTGAAACATAATTCCTCCCTCTGAACTCTCATCGCTGAAGTTTACACTGTGGAGACTGTTGCAGTTGTTTGCTCTGAACTTAATCCACCATATAGTAGCTCTGAGCATTAGACTGTTTTAATAGCATCTTAATGGAGAGGAAAAGTGAGATAGACTTCTAAAGTCGCATTTCAAATCATATTTTATGGTTTCGGCTGCAGTGGAACCCCAGTATACTGATATAACTGTTGAGTCAATTTAATATTCAGCCTGTAATTCAGTGTCTGCTCTGCTTCAAGGCTTATGATAAGAGACCAGTGTGGCTCTTACTTTTTCTATTTTTGTGCATGTCTTGTTTATATTTCCTGCACTGACTGACAGTATACCTACAATTAAAAAAAGTGAAATTAAACATAAAATGGGGTTTAAAAGGTAGACATTTTAACTACATATAACTACAGTAGGCTATCTGAACAGAATTGTAAAGAAACCCCATGTTGCGTAATATGCCACAAGTTAATCAGTGATTTTTAACACAACTATGTGAAGGGTCTTCTAGATGTAGGTAGCAGACTTTCGATACAAGGTAAACAAACATGATACAATAATTGACCCCGACGTGATTTGAACACGCAACCTTCTGATCTGGAGTCAGACGCGCTACCGTTGCGCCACGAGGTCACACTCAACTTGCTAAATATACATGATTTAATCCATACAAACTGCAAGTGTAATTCGGCTATATTTATGAATGAATCGTTTTTACTACTTTTCCTTTTTTAACCAAATCATCAAAAGCACATTCAGCATAAATTACAAGTAACTGTAAGTTGACTTATTTCTTTATTTACTTTGCTGGTTTTAATTTGTGCCTAACTTCTTCCCGTAGCACGTGTTTCCCAATAGGCGAAAGGACACAAATACGTAAAATCCTCAATATAATCGCATGACTTCCGTGTCTCAGCTGTAACTCTAGTGACTCCCAGACTGCTGCAAGTTATTTATGTATTGAGAGTCACTAGATGGCGCAATTTAACAAAGTTTGTTTCTTTTCTACACATTGAAGTTTTCAGTATCTTGAGCTCAGAGACAGACAGGCCTTCCTTACTAAATCACAGGTGGGCCTCTACGCGGTGCAGGTACGAGAAAGGGAGGCTTTTCCCTTGGCCTGTTACAATTCCTGATAAAAAGGCTAAAAGTCTGTTTCTTGGAGCAAACAAAACCCCCAGAATGGTTCTGTGTTCTTCAAATGTCCTTCAAATGTAGCACAGACTCAGGCCTGTTTGTTAATCCTGTCTGTTTGTTTCTTTCTAGTAGAGAAGAAGAGCATCCAGAGAATCTGACCACCATTAGTGACCAGCTACATTTTTCAAAATGGATAGGTAAGTGCACACAGCAGATGCAAACACTGCTATTTCCATTTGCATGTATTTGCTGCTGTCTGATGTTTTAATTTAGCTCTTTTAATTTAGTATTCTGTGGCTCTCTCATGTTAACTGCTTTGGTTGCCATATTGGTAACTATATTCAACAGTCACTTTTAAATAGCATTGCTCAGCACTGATATTAATGTCCTTCCTGCCTGCTCTGATTGGGATGCATGCTGTTTTCTGTCTGCATTGATGAGCGGGGCTTAAACAGCAGGGGGCTGGAACAGTGGGGGGCACATTGATTAGCTGGATAAATGTCACACTGTTGCTGGAAAGGTGAACAAATGACTTTGCAGTCTGTACTATGTCTGTTCCACATCTTTGAGTTATTTTATACTCCGTAGACTGCTGTAATTTTGAGTTTGGCAGGGGTTCAGTCTGAGTGTTGACAAAGGCTTTCTGTGCTGCAGGAGAACTTTCTACAAATATTGTATGGCACAGCTTGTAATACTTATCATTTGTGGTTAAGTCAATTGTTTCGGGTCACAATGACAATGATAATCAGATTTACAAGAAAACTTGTGTTCCTAGTACTGCTGCCAGAGCTTGTTTCTGTCGCTAATCGAGGACAAGACATTAGAAAATACTAAAAATAGGTTGTTGAGAAAATGTTTTGTTTGGTTTCATTGAGATTGGGAACACATTTTGTTCAATCTCAAATTTATGGAGACAGCAGCTCATTATGCAGTCAGTCTTGAACTGAGTCTGGTTCTGTCCTCCGGGCACACAGTGCAAGTGAGGGTGAACTCCTGAGTTTGGTTTGGAAATGGGGATTTAAAAAACAAAATCACTAAACTTAGAGCAGGAAGTCAGAATCAGTTTTATTGGCCAAGTATTGTGTGCACATACAGGGAAAGCGTAAACATAGCTCTGAGGGTACAGTGATATGCAACGTCTAACCAAGGGGAAGAGTTTTAACAGTTTGAGTCCTGGGTGTGAGGAGTCTGCAGTGATGTTACTTGCCTGTTTCTTGACCTTGGGTCGGTATAAGTCCTGGATGGAGGGCAGATTGGCCCTGATGATTTTCTCTGCAGTTCTGATTGTCCATTGCAGTCTTTTCTTGTCCTTTACAAAAGTTTAATTCTAAGTTCAAAGTTAACCTTTGCGTGTACCCCTTTTTCCCTCCACTGAGGTTTTTACTTCTTTTACACCTTCTTCATGCTAAAGAGCTCTCACTTATTTATTCGTTTTATATTATCTCTTCCTGTCTTAGTACATCAGGTTTTATTCTTTCTTTTTATTATTTTTGGCTCCAGTGTTTCCCAAAGGTAGCTCTTTCCATACGCAATGTCTCGGTGTCAAGCCATGTCGCCTTAGCAATATATCTTGAATGCTCATTTTGTGTGTGCTTGTGTGTGTATTTGTGTGTGTTTGTGCATGAGGGTGGGTATGTGTCTGTGTGAACGGGTGGGAGGGTTGGGTTTTATTATTGTTATGAGCCTCCGTAAGGCACTTTGAATTGCAAGCATGTATGAAAAGTGCCATAAAAATAGAGTTGAAATTGAATTTGAATTTTGAAGGGGAAAAAAGTGCAATTATACAGCAAAATAGATAAAAGGCACTGTGCAATAGCAGTATCTTGATGTAAAAAATGTTGCATCTGTATTTAACAGTGTTTTTACTGTAAAGTATAAAGATTAGTAAAGAGTATAAAAAAGATTAGTATAAAGTATAAAGAAACCTTAAAGACACAGGATGTAAACATGGGGGCAGTCTGGTTCTGCTTCTCCTTGACATCTGTTTTGCCGACCCTGGTGCTAACCTGAAACCCTAAACTGTGACTGGCAAATGCAGGGCAACTTTTGTGGATGTGCTGCAACCTTAGATTGTAAAGTAGCGGACACTGTAAATGTTCATGGACTGCAAGACAAAACATGTACAGCTCCCCCTGCTGACTGGCCAACTGGTTGCAGTATGGGTAAAACAAAACTCTGCTACCTTGGTATGAGTGATTGTGAGTAGTGTGATTTACAAGTAGATTTCTGTAGAAATATATTGACTCACACTTCAAGAGCAAGATTGATACAGTAGAGGATTTCAAGGATATGGTGACAGTAATTACTGTTTTGAAACTGTGATTTAAAGGAAAGCAAAGTAATTGTGATAAACTACTTTATTTAGCTGCAATCCTACGATAAAATGTACAGCAAATGACTGTGATTTAGCAGAGGATCAAAAGCCTTGGTGAAGCCAGCCTTTAATTTTAATTGAGTCACAACTGCTATTGTTGCTGTTTTGGAACAGAGTAAGAAGCAAGATAGACCCAGTTTAACCAGCCTCCCCCACACAGCTCACTGCTGTACCAACCAAAGCTCCATTACTGCCTAACTCTCAGCTACTCTCTCTCTCTGCTAATACCCATCTGACCACATTCACAAGGGTTTAGCCCCATTTAAAAATCCATCTAAGACATGATCTACCAGTTAGCTGAAAGAGTGCGCTCATAAGTAGAGCAGCTAATGAAGGAATTTGGGAGGGAACACTTTACTCGTGAAAGAACAGACCAGTTTTTACCAGTTTCAGATGTACAGTAACCAAGATAAATGAATGAAAGCATTGGCATGATATGGAAGTAGAACAAGTAGTTCCAGAACAAAGCATGTTTTATTTATAGTAACATCTATTAGGGAAAATTTAAAAAGGGGGTTAGAAATGATGATGAGAGACAAAATTGACCAGAAGAGACCGGATTTGCTTTAGGACTCTGTATGTGAATATTCAACGAATTTATGTCATGTTTGCCTGGACATTAAACACTTAATCTGAGAATAAGATCTTTACAAAAAGGTCAATCAGACTATCAGTTAAGTTCGGGGATATCAATAGATCTACTGGTGTCTTCATGACCTTATCAACCCTAGCCATCACATTATAATGTGGTCCACACAGTCTGTATCTAAATGCACATCATGTACTCTTCGCATGAGCTGTAATCTCAAAGAAGCAGCATGTGATGTCTGTTCTGGGCCAAAAAAAAAATTATGTAATGTTCCTTCACCAAAGTAGAGGTTTGAAGTGTAATAGTGTGTTAAAATACTCCGGGTAACACCCTTTTGTTGAACCAACCCTCACATGCACTTTCCCAAAAACACAGGCGATGAATCCCTCCAACCCCTTCTGTAAAAAAAAAAAAAAAAACAGGTTGCATGCTGAGTCAAAAGCTTGTCCCTACCTACCTGGAACATTTTTTTTTTTCTCAGAACGTGATCAGAGACGAGCTTTTATGATTTTCCCATTAGGGAGGAAGAGCTAACTGGACTGTCTCAAAGAGGAGAGTGAGGGAGAGAGAGATAGAGAGATAGATAGATAGAGAGAGAGAGAGAGAGAGAGAGAGAGAGAAAGGAAGGGAGAGCAGCCATCTGTGTGTTCTGCTGCACTGGATGCAGTCTCCATGGCAACATGGTGCTCCCGCAGCAAAAAAAAAAAAATCCTGGGAAGATGGTTTGGTCCCCACCCCCATGCGTATGCATACAGGCGCTAGACACACACACACACATGCAGTAGGATGGTGCTCGTGCATCCTCTGTCCTTACAAACTCACAGACACATAAAGATCTTACAACTATTAAACAATTTTAATTTCATACTTATTAGATACATCTTTTTACAGTTATGTTTTAACCCTTTGCCTTCAGCTCTTATGCTTGGACCCAAACTTTGAAAAAGCAAAGTAATCCTTTGTAAGAACTTGAACCTTGCATCCCTCAACACTGTTTTACCTCCTGAATAAATCATCTGTCACTCACTTTCACCTCTCTCACTGCATCTTAACATGTGCCTCTATTCCCTGTCATCAATTGTTAAGGCTGCCAAGATTAAGTCATTCATCTCTCTTGTATCCCTCTTTGCTATCCTGCAGCCTCAGCCTGTGTGTACGAGGAGGACAGGAAGACTGTTTTGTTCTTTTTTTTTTTTACAACTCGGGCTGACTGGTTCCCTTACATAAAGACCATCAATTTTCTGTTTGATAGTTTTGCCATTTTCTTTTCTCCTTACACATGCAATCAAAAAAAAAAGAGAGAGAAATAGAGGAGGTATAAGGGAGAGTGGGGACAGGAGTCATAAAAAAAAGAAAAACCTCTGTCTCTTTGTTGCCATCTCCTCTTCACTCTGCTCATCTCCCACACTATTGGTCCGTCCAGCCCCCTCCCATTTTCACACCAGCCACTCAGGTTGTACAATCTCTCTGTATCTCTTGCCTCCTAAGAGCCCCCCCTTTCTTTTTCTCTTTCTCGCTTTCTGTTTCTCCCTCAGTGCTTTCCCTCCTGCTAGCACACACATACATGCCAGCTCCTGATCGCACACACACACACACACACACTCACGCCCTGCTCCTGCGCCTGCCTCCCTCTCTCTCTCTCTCTCTGTGTGAGGTGCTTTACTGCTCTGGCGATGTCAGGTTTGGCGGACGTGTTTCTCTCCCTGTGGAGGAGGAGAGCACGCTGAAAGTTCCTTGTACCTCCCTCTCTTATCTGTCAGGATCCTGCTGTAAGTAAGTCTCTCTTCTCTCTCCCGTCCTTTGCTGTTTCATGCCATCCCCGCCTCATTCCTCCATCCTCCACTGTCTTCATCTCACCCTAGTTCTCCCTTTGGCAGAGGATCCTTCTGTCACGTCTCTCCCACTCCATCCCTCACTCCTGGCTTCCCTCCCTTTCTCTCCCACATACAGTCTATGTTGTCTGTATGCAAACTAATGCTGCAGGCCAAATGCTGGCTGAGCACTGGTGTGGACTGTGCATCATAGCCTGTAAATATATGCTGCTTGTGTACGTGAGGTAGCCCAGCCAGGCTGCAGTCATTTTGCTGAATGACATGATTATATTCTGTTGTGATTGCAGACTGTCTGACATTCAAAATAATGATTTAAAGCTTTATGCGTGATGTTCATAAAAAGCTTTAGTCATTTACTGTACGCATTGTATTGAGTGTAGTAACTGGGTTAAGAGCTTATTAACAGAACAGATTTGCACATAAATTTAAATAATCCATAAACTACATGAATTTCTGAGCTTTATTAGAAAGTTAACCACATTATTAATGACAGCTTTGGTGATTGTTCTATTGTTGCAGACGAAACACATTACAGAGTTTGAATAATTACTGAAGCCCTCCAGTCCAAGAGAAACCCTCTCAGAACTCTTGATAATATATTGATGCTAAGCTTTGGGGAACACTGGTGTTACTTGGAGAAGTTTGTCTAAACTCAGGCAGAAAGATCAGGCAAGTAAATTCAACCCCTGTGTTGAAATCTACCAAGAAATAGTTCATAATATCCTAAGCAGATCTTATAGCTCTTGCAAAAAGTGTTCAGCTGTTTGAGAGTTAGAAAGTTACACTTATGTCTCTCTACAGTCTACAAAAGCAAGCCAGGCAATCAGTGTAAGGATTGATTATCGCGAAGTACAAGACATCGTACTGTGGAGACTATGCAACAGTAGAGTTAACCCATCGTTCAGTAAGTACAGTGTCAACCAAAATATAAGATTCCCCTGATCATAAGATTCCCCTCAGCTTTGATCCAAATACTGTTTAATGACTGAACTTCTTTTACATAGCATATCATTCAAAACAGTTTTAAGTATTTCTACACTCTCAACAGACTGACATCTGTTTCAGGGTGCCCTCACTTCTAACTGGACCTGTACAGATCAGCTGATCGCAGATGCAACCTCTGATTGGTCAACAGACCAAAACAAAAATGGCAGGCCCTGACTAGCACAGCACCCAATAAGACCATCCCACTTTTTCAGATGTATTTCAAAGAAAAATCTGGAATAATCTCCCAGTTAATCCAGTCTGTGGATGTTTTGGTGATGGTTTTTGACTTGATTCTGACGGCTGTTGGAGTGTATTTGGTGGTCTATTCATAGATATTTTAGGCTTATATTTACAAAACATATTTTTGTATTTGACTCATGACTAAATAGAGAAGCTTTTTCATTTAGACACATTCTCGGTATTGACAGTAACTGCTTTTATGAAAAAAAAAGACATATCATGCTAAAAATAAGCACAGTCATACCATGAGTTGGTGGTAGTGGTCCTGCAGACTGTTGGTGAGCTCGCTGAAACAGCCCACTTAGAGTTTATTAGGCGCTTTTGGAGCTGATGTACCAATCAACAGAAACATTTACTGTTCCAGACTGTAGTTTTAACATTTTTTTTACTTAGTCCTGTCTACCAGAAGTGAAATACAGGAAATAAAGCAACTAAAACCCAAGATAAAAAAAAAAAAAAATAATGATAATGATCAAAATCAAAATGAAAGCATCACAGAAACATTGTTTAATAAAGCAATGTCTTCACTCAGGAAGTTTTGGTCACATGGCTGATAAAAAAAATCATAAGTTTGAATATTTTTAGAAATGTATGATGACATGTACGATGATAATTGTGCTTATTAGTGTAAGTTTATGAGGTAATGTGTTACTCCATCTCTCTGCTGCCTTTCCTCAGTCTGATTGATTTTGTTGTTTTATTTTCCAGTTTTCTATAACTATCATGACAGCATCATTATCGTCATATTTTGTGGCCACAATAACCGTGAGGTGAAAATCTCATATCATGACAGCCCTACCTGTATATTTTAAGACGTCTGATAAATTTAAACGTTTATAAGACCTGTGGTGAATGTGGGTGACATGTGGCTTCAGTTTCTACAGAATCAATACATTTATTAAGACGCTGTGCTCTGGCCAGTTTGTTTTCACTACCTTCGGCGTTGTTTTATAGAGAAGCAGTTTCATCGGGTGATAAAAGTCGAGGTCTCTAACAAGAGAAAAACAGCTGCAAACCCTGGGCAATGAACACCCCCACTGCTCTTGTTATTTTGTGTCTCTACACCGCAGATTCAAAACAACAGCGCTTCCTCTAAAGCTGCCTCCACTTACTGCAGGCCATGTTAAAGTTCTGTATGAAATCAGACACAAGTTTTGTCAGCTTCTCTCATCTTTAGGACTCTCTGGTTAGATACCTACTTACAAGGGAGAGTTCACAAACAGAGCTACAGAACTGTGATGTATGGAAATAAGTTAGACATGGATGCCATCCCAAGCAATTCGATATCGCAAAGAGAACTGTGGCATCCCTAATGGGAACAGCTTATGTTGACATTTTTTGTGGTGAAATTCTTGATATAGTGATAGATTTGACTGTTGAAAGAAATACTGAATCTTGTAGTTAGAAAACACTTTCTCCATGTTCAATCAATAAAGAGGTGATATACACTGTTTTGTCCACAGGGGTCACTAAAACTGGCATGAACTTTAACGTTGTCCCCGTTTTGAGTAAAGTGCACTCTTAAGAGACCACAGTGCGGATTCTAAGTTTGTGCATAAGCTGTCTATATAAATGTTGAAACATTATAATGGTGATCTAGGGGCACCTCTGGGTGCTGTGGGGGGGAAGTAGAGGCTGGAATGTCCGGCTGGCATGAGAGGAATGTCACTGGAGCTGCAGGGAGGGAGTGAGTTTCAGACGAGGAGAGATGTAGACCTGATCACATGCTGTATAATTCACTGAACTGTCATCAGGACTGTAACCACCGGATTTTCACATCCATTTGTTTGTTGTCAGACTCCGTCTCCCTGAGTTCTCCTGTAAAGGTGCTGATGTTTTGATTGTTGCAGTGAAATGTTTCTATACTGTGACTGTCAGCTCAGTTTGCTGGAGCAGGGATGCAGAGACTAAATGTCGTCTCTTGTCTATGATCTACCGTTTTCACTCAGCAGCAGTTTTTTCCTGTAACGTCAAGCTCATGGTGGGAAACCCAAAAGCTGTTATAATCTTGTTCGTTTGTGCTGCAGGTCCCTAATCATATTAATAGAGGAAGTTTAAAAAAAAAAAGGTACAGACAGCTAAGCTAGTTACGCATGCCTTCCAATCATAGATGAGACACAGTTAAGCGTTAATATAAGCCTGTAAGATATTAAATGCTGCTAAAGATGTCAGTGGAAAGTAGCAACCGGGTTTTTAATGTAGTATCAAAAGATATTTGACCCTTCAGGTGTTCAATTAGCATCCTGTACTCTTAAAAAAAGGTATTGCACCAGCAGAAATAACCCAGTCTGCTCAGTTGTTATGGTTGTTACCTGAGTGCATGTGTGTATCCACCCTCATAGAGTTGACCCGCTTGTAGGTGAAAGTGTTGCTATGGGTAACAGGAACAAATTCCTTCCCTTATCTACATAGTCAAGCAAGTTCTTCTGTGTTGTAATGTTGATCCTAATGTTGTTTGGTGGAAATCAAGTTGTCATGACAATCTTGGACTCGTGGGCTCCAAATCACAAAGAAGAAAAAGTCCTCTGAGCAAAGTTACAGCTTCAGCTACAACCTTTGTACCTGTGATTTTTGATTTTTTTTTATTTACCAGGTATTTTTTCCTATTTCAGTCGTATTGATACCCCTCAGTATTCTTCTCCAGCCTCCTTTTCAAACACTATCCTGCATTATAATGATAAAAGTACTTATTTCCTGACTCAGTCTCAGCTTTCATGCATCTTGGTCGCTCCTTTTGTATTATACACATGATTGATGTAGTGTTATATGAACAGAGACAGTATTTAGGGCTCTTTACCAGATGTTTGAAGTAGGATTAAGCTTTATTTAGGACCATCTGATGTACATAAGAGTGCCTTAATCTAAAAAAAGGGGAACTTTCAACCCTGCGTCTCTTATTTGGTAGGAAAAAGTTGTATTTATTGTTCAGAACATTGTTTTTGGTCTTAGATTAAGGTTATCGGGTCGCCTTAAGATGTTTTTTATCATCAGCTGTTTGAGCTTTCCACACTGTTGTCCTACAATCTTTGAACAGATTTTCATTCATTGAAGTAGTTTTGAACTTATAGTGGTAAAACACTCGTACCATGTAGTGTTGTAGTGGGTGGGACACTGATAAAAGAAGAAAGAGTTTAGACAGTGGGGGAACTAAATTTCGATTTCGTTTTAAACAGGAACTTCAAAGTTAAAGCCAGAGGATCACTGTGTCTACCTGGCTAAAGGGATGAGTTAATGCTCATATAGGAGTTGCGGTGACTGTTACAAGTGTACACTCACCGGCCACTTTATTAGGTACACCATGCTAGTAACGGGTTGGACCCCCTTTTGCCTTCAGAACTGCCTCAATTCTTCGTGGCATAGATTCAACAAGATGCTGGAAGCATTCCTCAGAGAGCTTGGTCCATATTGACATGATGGCATCACACAGTTGCCGCAGATTTGTCGGCTGCACATCCATGATGCGAATCTCCCGTTCCACCACATCCCAAAGATGCTCTATTGGATTGCGATCTGGTGACTGTGGAGGCCATTTGAGTACAGTGAACTCATTGTCATGTTCAAGAAACCAGTCTGAGAAGATTCCAGCTTTATGACATGGCGCATTATCCTGCTGAAAGTAGCCATCAGAAGTTGGGTACATTGTGGTCATAAAGGGATGGACATGGTCAGCAACAATACTCAGGTAGGCTGTGGCGTTGCAACGATGCTCAATTGGTACCAAGGGGCCCAAAGAGTGCCAAGAAAATATTCCCCACACCATGACACCACCACCACCAGCCTGAACCGTTGATACAAGGCAGGATGGATCCATACTTTCATGTTGTTGACGCCAAATTCTGACCCTACCATCCGAATGTCGCAGCAGAAGTCGAGACTCATCAGACCAGGCAACGTTTTTCCAATCTTCTATTGTCCAATTTCGATGAGCTTGTGCAAATTGTAGCCTCAGTTTCCTGTTCTTAGCTGAAAGGAGTGGCACCCGGTGTGGTCTTCTGCTGCTGTAGCCCATCTGCCTCAAAGTTCGACGTACCGTGCGTTCAGAGATGCTCTTCTGCCTACCTTGGTTGTAACGGGTGGTTATTTGAGTCACTGTTGCCTTTCTATCAGCTCGAACCAGTCTGGCCATTCTCCTCTGACCTCTGGCATCAACAAGGCATTTCCGCCCACAGAACTGCCGCTCACTGGATATTTTTTCTTTTTCGGACCATTCTCTGTAAACCCTAGAGATGGTTGTGCGTGAAAATCCCAGTAGATCAGCAGTTTCTGAAATACTCAGACCAGCCCTTCTGGCACCAACAACCATGCCACGTTCAAAGTCACTCAAATCACCTTTCTTCCCCATACTGATGCTCGGTTTGAACTGCAGGAGATTGTCTTGACCATGTCTACATGCCTAAATGCACTAAGTTGCCGCCATGTGATTGGCTGATTAGAAATTAAGTGTTAACGAGCAGTTGGACAGGTGTACCTAATAAAGTGGCCGGTGAGTGTATATTCAAAGCTACTATCTAATGCTGCTTTATTTTTGTATCAAACTGTCATTTGTTTTGGTAAATATGGTTTATGTTCCACAGGCACAACTCTTGTCAGTTCCTGTTTGTTTAAAAAAGTACGTGTATGTGTGTCTGCTTTTGCACGCATATCTTGTACTTGAGGAATAAACAGATTAATATGTGGTGGCATGGCTGTGCTCTGGCTGTGGGCAGTCAAGTCTCCAAAGCATATTCAACTCTGTTTACTGTGTGTTGTAGGGTTGGAGAGCCATGTGGTGAAATCTCAGAGACAGAGCTGAGAGATGCCGTCATGTCATGTTGGATATATTTAGACGGGTCCCTCGGGGGGGAGCTCAGTAATAGCACGAGCCATATTGTGCCATTTTTGAGCATTCCACACAACATCTGCGATAAATACGCTTAGTTATACTCAGTTTGGTCGACTTTATAATTCATTCCAATATGCATTATCCCCTGAGAGGCTAAATACTTTGTGAATGATCTAAAAATTACAAAAACTTGCAAAAAAAGGACTAACTTTGGAGATGAGTAAGGTAGTGGACTGTAGTTGTTGATGTGTGGCCAAAAGAGCAACTGTTCACATTCACTGCTAATTTTAGCCCTGCCAAAGCTCAGGTAATTCAACGATTAACAGGTTTCATTTCTCACAATCCCTTCACAATAAAAGCCCCTTTTTCCGATAATGCCTGGATATGGAATACTGTCAAGAGCAGCAGCTGGAATGAACTCAGACAGTTATATAAAGCAGATGTCTAAAATATACAAACAAGTAAGTAAGAGAGATAAGAATTCAGATCACAGAGATTTATTTAGAAGCTTCAGCATACTGAGAATTGAACTCGGAGTGGTTTATGAAAACATCTTTCTGTGGTGTTAAGCACAAACATGAGTCAGGCACTGAAGACTTTTTTTGTTTAAGGGGGAGAGTGGTTTGTGGTGTGAACATGCATTTACATTTGTAATCCCCTTTTATTCTGTACTACAGGGATATGATACTATAACCACAAAAAAATAGAAAAAAGGAATAGAAATTTTAGATCATATCACCCACCCCTAGTGGGACCGGGCTAACTTTCAGAATCAAGTATCGAACGCACAGGATGTAAATGACATTTTCTTGGTGAAAAGAGGTCAAGCTTTTGTTCTGTACGAATAAAACCAAAGGATTAGCTGTACTGGCTGACCCCTGAAAACAATACACCATCGATGTTACTTCACTCACCGTTTTGTTTGCTATCCTTGAAGCAGCCATGCATTTTCAGGGACACTGCTGACACTGAAAGCTGCATTTACACCGAATGTTTCTGTCTATGGAAAATAACCACCACACTGAGCTCTTTTGGACAGGTCTGAGTTACTCTGGGGTAATTTAGGAATCAGCTAAGTGTGAAAGTTGGTCTTTTTTTAACCAAGCGGGAAGCTATGTTTGGGCAAAATTAGGTTCAGTGCACTGTTTTCAGCAAATGTAATGTAGTTGTGTGTTAATGACTAAAGCAGAGCATTAGTTACAGGGCAATTAAGGTTACAGAAAACCCGTTATTGAGGCATTAAATGCGGATTAAGGATGATGTGTTAGAGCACTTTGTGTTAGACTTCTATTCTGGGATCAATTTTAACCACTTGTAATCAGCTTTAATCAAACCTCGTAAATAATATTGCAAAATAAACCCTGGTACCATGCTCTATAGGTCAGAGTCACTATCTCTACCTGAGCTTAGTCAGTTTTCATGTTTGGGAACATCCTGATTTGTTTTCTCTGTTGTTTTCCTATCGACATGCTTCTGCACTAATGATGTGCAGCCAGAGTTGTGTGCACCTGTGTGTCTTTGTGTGCCGGCATACCGTGTGAGTCCCTGTGTTAATATGTTGATTCAGGCGGTTCCTGTGACACATTCCTGCCCGGCTTGGCTCAGATCAGGCAAGCTGATAATTTTAGCTCCGCTTATGTCAGTCAGGCCTGCTGTGTGTGGACAGAAAAGAGAGGGCACCACTCCTGGGACATTTATCATCCACTACATCATCTTTGCCACCGGACTGTGTGAGACAAGTATGTGGCGTCTTGTTTTCCTTCAAATACGTGGTCATAGAGTAAATTTTTTCACGATGGTTGCACATTCTTCTGCTAGGAGTGTTCACATACATGGTGCATCTGCATGTAAAGTGGTTTGCAAATGTGTAAATCTTACATCTGCTGACCGTTTAGCATGATCAACAACTGTATTTCTATTTAAATGTAAATTAGTTCCCACCTGATTATCATACTAAGATGAAATACACATTTGTTTTTTCATGTCATGGGTTTTAAAGTGCGTAAGACAAGGTCAAGTTACAAAAAAAATCCATCTCTAGCATCCTACACTGTTTAATCTTGAGTGTTTCTGTGCTATGAAGGGCATGTACGCAAAGCGCCCATGGCTAAGTGCTTTCATTCCACTGCTGTTGTGCTTATTTTCTAGATATCTGGCTCTTACATAACCCACTTTTTGACCTTTTTTTTCTCAGCAAGCACCCTGATGATGACGAGATCTAAACTTCCCACCTACCTGTATGAATAAACACTCGCACAAATTCACGGACGGGCTCACCATCACCGTGGCCCCGGTTCTGTTATGCCATGTGTCATGAAGCTGTTTATGTTAATATATGTTTAGCTCCAGGCATCTATTCCCAGAGTTATTTAAAGAAACAAATTATTTCAGGATCAGCTTGTCCACCCTGTGGCACATGCTCCTCTTTCACTGGAATATTCTCACTGGAGAGAGAGAGAGAGAGAGACAGGGTTGTGAAGGATAGGAAAAGGTGGAAATCTGTGCGTCATGTAATATTCCCTTTGAATGTATTTGGCTGAGAAATATTTAAATGTAAGCTTTAAGATGCGGATTTGTGTCTAATGCTGCGACTGTTCCTTTGAAGGATGAAACTGTTCGTGCAAATGCTTTGATGTTCTGGTGGTTCAAGAAGAATAGATGTCATTGTCAAGTGGGTTTGTTTGGTATTCATATGGATTCAGATGAGATTAGAGAGAAAAGGAGGTTACATTTCCTCCAAATTTCTGTAGTTATGAAGAGGTTATGACAAGTTGGCTCACTCTGGCTCTGCAGAGATGTGATAGTCTGTATCTCTCTATCTGAGCTGCTCATAAATCTGTTTCTCAGGGCTGGGCAGAGCTAAGCTGCTGCTCTGATGTCTGCCTTGATGTTTTTTCATGTCAAGAATCTCTTGATGAAGTTCTTTTTGTAACAGAGTGAAAAGGAGGTTGATGAAATGATTTGATAACTGCATTGGTTACAGAAACACATTGTTTGTGGCTTAGATCAGACCTGCCTGCCTGCAATTGAAAAATCACTCCTGGACTTGTGAGACACTTCTTAATACCACAGTTCCACCATAGAAGTCTGCTCATGGTCCACTCAAAACATTAGCCTTTTAGCTTTTTAACATTTTCATTATTTGGTGCAGTAATTTCATTTATTTGGAGATAACTCTAGACTTCTACAGGCGTGTATTTATGTTAACATTTCTGTCTTCATTCAGCTTTGCAGTTGACGCACCTTTACACATAGATGAAGTAAAAACAGTTTATTACATTGTTGCTTTTATTGCAGTGGATTGATTTGTTTGGTGTTTCATCAGGTTGTTGCCGGTTTTCCTTTTTACAATTAAAAGTTAATCACAGTTATCATGGTGTTTTGACCGATCGGAATCAAGTATTTAAAGTTAGATTATAGTTTAGTTCAATCATGGCTGTGTAGCAAAGCTTTACTGAACCATATCTCAAATTTATGCATACGTGAAACTGATTCTAAACTCTAGCATAAGAGGAAAATCTTGATCAATTTTGATTCAGGCAGTTTCTTAACTGCAACCAATTTCCAGTAGCCTATCAGTAGCCCATGCATGCCATGTGTTGGGGGTGTCTCGATATGATATTGATATCAGATATCAGTCCAATATCAGCAAAAATATGAATATCGTATTATATCGGCCTGCATCTAAAATCTCTGATATCAGCACTCCGGTATTCCAGACTCCTCTCCAGCACTTCTATCTAGCAGCACCATGTAATCACAACAACACTGTGTACCAAAGTACCAAGAAGTAGGAGTGATGTCGGCCCTGTGGCAGTTCTTCTAATTTCACAGGAAATTGGACCTGATGACAGGCGTAGAGAGTAACGATATTGAAACTGCCAATCTTCTCACTGTAGGGCTGAACTGCTTATCTTGTCTTCCATATTGGATTGTGGTTACTTTATTACAAGCCTTAAACTTTTAAGAGAGATCAAGTTGAAAGCTTTGGTAGGCATTTTTGTGTGTATGTTGAAACTATTCGAATCAAAGGTTTTGTATCTACTGCTGTTACAGGGTTGTAGGATAGGATCTTGCTCCACTTTTCCTGTCAGAGATGGTTTTGGCCCAGTAGCTTGTTGTTATACTAACTGTGGCATACTCTGCCTGGAAACTAACTTGCAAGCTTGCATAAGAATAAAAAAGAAACTCATAGGATGCAGGTGTGCTGTGTGAAATACAGCAGACTCCTCTCTGTGGATTGATTTGTTTGGTGTTTGATCATGTGAGCAAAATTTCACTTCATGGTGTAATGAAGAAGCAAGTTGTCACACAAGTTTGTTTCTCCGCGTAAATAAACTTCAGGATAACTGTGTGGAAGTGAACTCTTGACACGCAATTCTCTGTTCACACACCTGCTTCCCCTGAGGCCAACTGTGCAGCAAAAGCAGCTGTGTGGCTGCCTCAGCATGCCTGAGGAAGCGTCAGTATATTCGTTGAAACCCATTAATCAATTGGTGATCAGCATGCACAGTGGAGCTGTGTTTACTGTGAGCTGCTAATGAGAGGACTGCCTTTTAATGCATGGTCTTAAACAACTCATAATGTGTTTGTATGATGGATTGATGAGACACTAAGCACATGCATATAATTTCTTTTAAAAACACAATGCATGTCTGCAATTATGCCACACTAATGTAGGTTAAATTACTTGTTTTTCCTCACTTAATTAATATATAATTCTAAGCTGGCAGTTATTAAAAGATAGAGAATAACCCGAGGACATGTTGGCATTCTCTGTTATGCTAATTTAGAAACAAACATGCATGAATGAGTGTAAAAAACATTTAAAAAATTCTCCATAATATGGATATCTCATGTGTTGGAGAGCATGCGACTCCTTCTCATGTGTTTCTGGCTCATTACTATGCTGGTCATCTGAGGATCCCTTTGCTTTTTTTTGCAGTGTGTGCGCAGTGTAGAGCACGTGCCTGCCAGTGGTGTGAAGGGGATGCGAAGTGATAGCTCTATATATAGAAGTATATGTATGTGCCGGCTTAAGACCGGACTGTGCATGCATGAGAATGGAGGCTTGCAGAGCATACTAACAAGGGTTATACAGGCTGCACGGTACACACTATCCATTAGCTCTGCATGCTGTATATTCTTGATTTTGTGTCTTTGTGGGGACTTTGTTAAGGTTTAAACCATCATGTCTGTGTTTGCACATAATTGGTGAGCAGCTTAGGAGAAAAGGTTGGCTATAGTATGACTCAGATTTAAATAGCTGACTGTATGTGTGTCTGTGTGTGTGTGTTTGCGTGCACTTGAATAAGGGTGTCATGCCCGGAGCTGTCAGACTCAGAAACCATCATGGAAGCCCTTAGATACCAGGATGTCTGCAATTATGCCATCACTAATGTGAGGCATCTATATGTCTTGTCCCTATCTATATTTATTTTAGGCAGGTGAATCCGCAGCTTTCAGGGGGAAAAAAATACATCAGGCGCAAGATCCTGCAAAAAAAGCTTACGAGGCGTCAGGTGTGTAACACAGAGTGCTGACACAATGCAACTGCAAGTAAAAGCTGCAAAACCCGTAACCCTCACGACTGACTCACTCACTCACAGACCCTCTCTCGTGACATTACTCGTCATCTGACATCCACGGGATGCAGGGTAAAAATCAAACACTGACCTGAGTAGCATGTGGATTTCGTGCAGTGCTCCACTATCATAACTGGTATCTTTCCAGCTCTTACTAGCCCTGGGGCAGAACGGTTACTTTCATATGAGACAGCCTCAGTGTTTGTGTCATTATACTTACACTTAGGCTTCTTGGAGGCAGGCTTGAAATACAGTGTGAGTGAAGAATTATTCGAATGAAATGAACCTTTTTATTAATTATCCACAAAAAATATGAATCAAAACAATTTAGGACCTTTTTTTATAGATTCTGTGGAAAAAAATACACTTTATTTCAAAGGGATACTCTGGCATTAAAATTAAGTTAGGGTCAAACACACCCAGTTAGACACCCCATCGAGAGATGAATGTTGCTTACTGCTTGCTTCTCTAGTTATACCAACTTTTAGTAACAACGGCACAATAGCAATACACAGTGGTCTGAGGAGCCATAAACAAACCTCAACCAAAACGCCACTCTGTAACCACAAATAATGCTCAGAACAGCACCTAACTTCATCAACAGAACATATAGGGTCCTAGCCACAGCATTAGCCACCAAACATCTTTTTAGCTTTGCCTGATTTCTTTAGGAAAGAGATTAAACACAACTCACCTACTCTCTTCCAGCAGCCGCTTGTTTGTAGTGAGACATCGGGACAGTCCATTGCAGACTACAGCGGGGTGACGCAGCTCAAGGAAGAACATTTATGATCATTACTTTATCATTTCCTTAAAGTAATAATCACCATATTAAGAGAAACAAGCGGTCGGCAACATTAATCTCTCGAGGGGGTGTCTAACTTTGTGTTACGGTGTGTTTGACCCTAAATTAATTTTACGCCAGAATATCCCTTTAAGTCAATCTAAAATTATGCAGTAAAACTCTTTCATTTACTTTTTGATTTTTCTCACAGTCTCTCCCTGATACAGTACTTCCATTAATCTGCACTGGGTTCAGGGGACTTGTGAATGCCGCTGGAGGTTCGTCTTCCTCTTGTTTAATAACTGCAGGAGTCGTATATTCTGGTAAAAACTGTTGATTCAGCAGAGAGTGCAGCAGTTAACCAATAGTGCTGTGGGGTGCTCTCTGCAGGAAAGACAACAGTCACTTTTTAAAGGCTTCCCACACTGGAAAACTGTGCTGGTGTATAAATCATGTCAGATAGCATCCTCTCTAATTACTTACTGTGTATGAAACAAGGCCGTATCAGACAGTTTAATCCAAAATGCACAGTCTTTATGTGGTTGTGTGGACACTTTATCCATCACAATTTTTCTTTGTTATCATGTATAAAATGTTTCATAACTACACCGGCTCGCTGCAGCTGTTGATGCATTATTCTGTGATTGATGCGCTCATCCTCTTTATCTTTTCCCTCCTGTTACGCCCACCACAGCAGTCTGGGCCTGAGAGTTTAGGATGATGTGATTTGGGAAAAGGTGTGCGTGGGCAGGGAGGAAACGGAGCCGGAAGCTGGCGCCCAATCTAGTCAGATTAACAGCAGAGCGATATTTTGGTCAGGGAGTCATCGCCTCTTAAATTAAACTTTGCAGTTTGAGGGATTGGGTTTCAAATCATATTTGGCTTGAATTCTGTAACAGCCTAAATTAAGTATAAGGGTCTTTCTAAATCTGTACGCATCTGCGATTTAGACCTCGATTTAGAGGAAACGTCTAATTTTAACTTAATTTAAATGTGACATCATGAATTATGTAACTTTGTTTGGCTGCCCTGTTTGTGAGAGTGTGCGTGTGTGTGTACTTGGCAGGAAAACTTATGATGTAACTCTTCATAACTGTAACTAGAGGCCAGATGATCCAAAGGTTTAGAGGGTGCGAACTGTCAGCTAATAGAGGGAGCTAAACAGTGTAGTCGATTAATGAACGCACGACAGATAAAAGCTGCATATCCAACATGTTTCTGAATCGATGGTATCAGTCAGTTGAACTTTTCTTGTTTTTGTTGTATCTCCTCTTCTGCTCCTCCTTCCTTTTCATCCTCCTCCTCTTCCTCTTCTACAACTTTAAGTCTCCTTCTTCTTCTCTCTCTTGGCTCCCTCTGTCCAAGCCAAATTTTTGCCTTGTGATGCAATCCCTGTGAGTTGAAGTTCTCTCCAGCCAATAAGAGTTTGGCAGAGGGAGGGCAACGCTTGTAAACAGCACTGACAGTGGGCGGGATTTTTACAATTTTTATAGGCCCTCCCTCTGTTGTCAGCCTGTGATCGCATGGGAAAGAGAAAAAGAGAGAGAGAGAGAGGGAGGGAGAGGGAAAAAGGAAGAGGAAGAGTGGGCAGCGTCAGGGCTGAAGGGGGCGTGTGTGAGTGTGAGTGAGTCAGGGCGTGTGCTGATTTTTTAATGTTATACACAGAGCAGCTATGGAGCCATCTAGACTGATCTACTCCTCACTTATGACAGTAGGTAGACTCTCACCAATTCTGTGTGTGTTTGTCCTCTTATATAAGTTTGTGTGTGTTTATAACTGTACAGTATGAGCTCAGCTGCTACCAGAGAGAAGTTTTGTGTTTATTCAAGCCTTCAGTACACAATATTTGCTGCTGTACAGTACAGGTGCATGACGGCTGTTACTTCTACAGTATTGCTTATGAACCCTTCTCCCTTTCCTTCTCTCCTTTACCCTCTTGCTGAACTTTGAAAAGATATTTAATTTCCTGCGCTGCCTACACGCACATTATTTCCATGTGTGTTATAAAAAGGACACAAAGCAGCGTGTGAAGCAAAAGCAGAGGTTTAAGTGCTGAATGAGACAAAGAAAACTGTTACTTTGTGTTGAGTAAAGCCAGCTCTGAATAGACGCATTGTGTGTTACATTCCACGCCTGTGAGCTTGTTGTCACACACGAACACACTGCACACGACTTTTAACACAAACACAAACAATTAGATGCGCATTCAGGAGCTTTAATCCCGAGATTCTGCGTGCTTAGCCAGGCTAAGGTCAACAGCACCATTACAGCTTTTATTACTGCGCATACGAGGGGCCAGAGGAATTATAGCACGTTTCATTTTGATGGTATTAGCTGGCAGCTCTCTACAGGATGTGTCCCCTCATACTTCATCTTCAGGAGCTTCCTGCAGTCTTACCCCAGTTTGGCTTTATCCCATCCGGCTGCTTTGAGCTGCAGAGGCTGATTTCTCTATCAACATGCCTTCACTGACTTTTAAAGAAGTTTTATACACTTCATTTAAACCCTGTGAGTTTACTTTTAGGCGTCAAAAAAGTTTAAACGGGCCTTAATAAAGCTGCAGGCAGTTCAAAACACAGTCCCTTTAATGCCTATGACGTCAAACATGTACTCTCTGACACATCCACCCACTCACGTGCATGCATGACTGTATTAGGTTGTTTGCACCATTTCGTGTTTGTCCATACTTTTAGTGAAGCTTGAGCATTGTCTGTCTCTAACAATAGGCGACATGTCTCCACCTCCTGTTGTTGTTGTACAAAAGTGAAGCCAAACACCCCCTTGTGATGGGTAATTGCAAACCAAAACACACACTTAGAAATGCTGTTTCTAAAATGTAGCACAGCCACTGGAAAGACCGTTTCTTTGATGTAGTGTGATTATTTGATTTTAAAAATAGAGATAAAGTTGTTTTTAGAATTTGTCTTATTAAACCCATAGCAGGAATTGTTTTTCACTCAGGTGTACATACTACACACATACCCTGAAATATACACACATGCAGGATCCCTTGATCAAGGTTTAAAGGAGATGTGTGGTATGATTGAGGGGGCTAGCGCTCTTAGCAGTCTCTACTTCAACCTCATGAATTAAACCAGCGCTTCTGCGGCCACCAGCCCAATTTTCCAAACTTGGTCCCTGCCAGACCTTGAACTTAAACCAGCAACCCTCCAGATCCCCAATAGTCTGAGCTACTGCCACCCCCGATTGACAAAGCTGTTAATCATGGGTTTGTAACCCTTTTTATCGCGTCAAATAACAGGTTAAAACTAACATTCATAGAAAAAATGAACACTTACACATGAGAGCGAACGTTTAGCTTTTGAACATTTTTGCCTTTGTTAGATTAAAGGCATATTCCGTTGTAAAATTCATTTAGGGTGAAACTAAATTGTTTGTAGCAAGACCTCAGGCTAGTCCATTATTGACTACAGCGGGGTGACGCAGCTCAAGGAAGAACACTTATGATCATTTTTTCACGGAAATGCAATCAGATGGAGACGCTAAGGTAGGAGAACTACTGCATCTGCAGTGCAAAATGATTAATATGGTGATTATTACTCAAGGAAATGATAAAGAAATGATCATAAATGTTCTTCCTTGCGTTCCTGCGTCCCCCCGCAGCAGTCTGTAGCAGCTGCTGGAAGGGAGTAGGTGAGTTGTGTTTAGTCTCTTTGCTAAAGAAATCAGGCAAAGTTAAAAAGATGTTTGGTGGCTAGTGCTGTGGCTGGGACCCTATATGTACTGCTGATGAAGTTAGGTGCTGTTCTGAGCATTGTTTGTGGCTATAGAGTGGTGTTTTAGTTGAGGTTTGTTTATGGCTCCTGAGACCGCTGTGTTTTGCTATCGTGCGGTCATTACTAAAGTTGGTATAACTAGAGAAGCAAGCGGTCTGCAACATTCATCTATCGAGGGGGTGTCTAACTCGGTGTTATGGTGTGTTTGACCCTAAATTAATTTTACACCGGAAGATCCCTTTAAATTTGGCCTCACTTTTTCAGGAGTCTTCAAGGTGTCTTCCTTTCTGCAGTCAAGAAGCTTGAGCAGAAAAGAGTTCTCGTGCACTTGCAAAATTGTAATTCACAAATAAACCATGAATTTCTATGGGCTGCCAGTTATCCTAGTGGTGTGAGTGCTTCGCTCACAAACAGAGGCTGTAGTCTTTTGTTGCATCAGCACTGGATGGACTCCCAGCCATGACCCTTTGCTGCGTGTCCTACCCCACTTTCTACTCCCTACATTTCCTGTCTCTCTGCAGTAGGAGTGGGTGTATCCATACTTTTAGTATTGCTACTCCAGTACTTACAAAGTTGGTATCATTTGGCTCTGAGCTACTTGTGATAATGATATTGACAATTTTACTATTGTTTTAAAACTGTGTAAGTGTTTTAATCATGAACTGCATAAAACTACAGGCAAAAATGAGCTCCAACATGGCAATATTAATATTAGCTTCAATATTATTCAGGGCATCTTAATAGTAAGATCATAAATAAACTTTTTTGGACCATCTTTCAGGAAGATATTTGAGGTATTTTATATTCTTCTCTTACAGTGACACACTCAGTAACAGTATAAGGTAAATGGACATCAGCCACTTCACTCTCCAGACAGTCCTCAGACCCCTGCTCTTATTTTAGTTTCTCTGTTACTGCTTCCCTCACAAAACATGCGTCTAAATATAGACAGATTTCATTACAGATGATATTAGTATCAGTGTGTTCCAGGACACAACGATAATGACGGGGAAGTGCGAGTACTGTGGTGAAGCAAACAGAGCATGCTGTTGTGTTGATCCCTCGGTCTACTGAGAGAAATCAGAGTCAACAGGATACTCTTGAAATGTCAGTTTCACATGCGGGGTTATTAAAGAACAAAGCATATTTGGATTTAGACGAATAAAGGCTACTTACAGGTAATCGTTTCCATTAGACATCAGGCCTATTTGTAACCAGAGTGTGAATGAGACATGTCATCGTCGTGGTAGACAGCTTAAGACATGACCTGTACCCTGCCAGTCTAGACAATTTGTCATTTGATCCTGTGTGTGTGTGCATGTGCGCGTGCATGTGTTCAGTCGTCAACAACTCACAATAGGGCCTGAGCAGAGACGGGACATGGAGGATTGTGTGCTGTATTAGATGCAGCAGTGACAGATGTGCAGACAAGAGTGGGGGTGGTGGGGTCTGGTGGAGGATGATGATTATTGGTGTGTGTGTGTTTTTTGTGCTTAAGTGTGTATGTGTATGTGTATCCTTATCAGTGACTCTGCTATGTTCATAAGTATCCTGCATGTAAGTTTGCGTGTTTGTTGCTCCTCTCTCATCCCTGCATCTGTATGAGCCTGTGTGAGTGTGTGTGTCTGTGTCTGATACATGAATTAAACATGTGTTGACCTACTGAGAACTTGCAGCTGGAGCCAGTTAGCAACATGAATATAAAAATGGAAACACAGGGTTTATCAAGGATGTTAAGATTAAAGCAAGGTTCAAACCAGGGGAAACTTACATCACCAAAAAGTCATTGTTGCCATCATCATGTATTTGCCTTTCCATGTGATATTTTATCTTTCCACTTTGATGACACGAAAACATGTTATGCTAGCATCTATAACACACCCCTGTAATAGCAATGCTGTATGTGTTTGCACAGATGGATGTGAAAATGGGCCACATTGGAGCACTAGTGTCTGTTACCAGGCAGACTTTACCTGTACCTACCTTGCAGCTGTATGTCTGCCATGGATGACTTCATGTCAGGCTTTTCTCATTGTCTCACCTTTCTTTTTTTAACTGTTTCTAAAACTCTGATGCCGTGCTCACCCTGCTGGGATTCTGATTTGCTGAACATCAGGTTATCCTTTCCCTTGCTTTTGATGTTGAGAATTAATCACAGTTGTTATGGGTCCTGACCAATCAGAATCAAGTATTTATCAATACTAGATACCAATATTCAATATTTGATCTCTGCATAACAGTCACACTCTCTGAGGGAAGTCTGTTTATGAAGGTACCGTAAATCATTGTCTGAAGTGTTGCAGCTGACAGACCTTAGATTTTCGGGTCATAAAAATCTGCTTTCACTTTAAAGCTCCAGTGAGGAATTTTAAGTTGGAACATGGAAAATAAAAATAAATCTGTAAATGACCAACAAAAACAAAGAAAAAATCAGAGAGGAGGACAGTGATGATTTGTAGGGTCATTGCATATGACAGAGGAGGAGTCAGACAGGGCATAAAAACAGTGAACCACTGAAGCAGCCATTTTTAATATACATATTTTTTATTTGTCAGAACAAGGAAATAAATTCCCCCTTCTTGGTTTAGGGGTGGTCAAAACCAGCTCACAGTAGAGTTCTTTATAGGAGTTTTAAATGTACTTAAAGCTCCTGTGAGAAACTTTGAGTTTGTGTGAGTTATGGTGCCCCCTGTAGACAAAGTCTTTGCATCTGTTGTCTTCTTTGTGTTTAAGTAGTGTCTCAAAAACTCACCCTGCTGTCTCTGGTTTGTCATGTCCTGTGAATATTGTATGAGGGAATTATAAAAACAATGATGTCTCTTCAGCAGACACCTGTCCCGCCCAGCACTGGCTCCCAGAATCAAAAATTATTACATGAAAGTCATCGATCTTGTCGCTGATGGTCTCATTTTCTTTTAGATCCTATTTAAAGACATCAATATAAATTTTAGTCTTTTATTCAATATGTGTGATATGTGTTGATTATTGTTTATCTGTGCATGATAAAAATAATACAAATTTCTGTAGAAGTATTTAATCATATTGGTTTGTAACGTTTCCATATGTTTTAATAAAGAGACAATATGGCTACATTGAAATTACACCATGAACCAAGGTTTAGCAGATGTTAATTTTACTAATTTTTCTCAAAGTTAAATAGAATAAATCCAAACATTTAAAATGTATGCTTTTGAGAAAGTAATTACCATAACAGATTGGGAGCATCAGGGAGAAGTATTTTTAGCTTGTTTCACTGTACCCTTGAGGCCTTGAAAGTGTTTTTAGATGCTTAGCTTTGATATTGGTTTGTAGTTTATTTGTAATGTATAGGACAGACTTCATTGTTTATTCGCTTTTGTAATTTTTTACTTCATTTATTCTCCTGCTTTTGTGTCAGCTGAGAAGCTAATCAAAAAACCAAGCACATGGCTCTGCTGCTGGTTTGTCTACATCTGGGGTTGTGTAAACACTCGGGACTGCTGCATGCCTCTATTTCACACAGTTCTCTTTCAGGCGGATTTTGCCTGGTATTAATCCAGAAATAACGCCGTAACAATGAGCATGTATTTTTTTTAATAATCAACTAATTAAGCAGCTTTGTTCACTGCGGTTCCTGGTACCTCATGTAATAGGTTTTGCTGAACATTAGGAACCCTAAATGACACTCACCTGAAAGTTGTGACAGAAGAAACCGAAGAGCGATTATTCACGCATTGATCTCTGTCTCTCTGCAGGAAAGCTGCTGTCCTCATACGTGGCTTTAAATGTCTTCTGCTATGGCGAAGCGGGAGGCAGGGAGCACCAGCCCTGTGGTGCGTCAAATAGACAAACAATTCCTGGTCTGCAGCATCTGCTTGGATCACTACCGCAATCCCAAGGTCCTTCCCTGTCTGCACACCTTCTGTGAAAGGTAACTACCAAGTCTCTTTGAAAAAAAAAAAAGATAAACTTTTTTTTTTTTTCCCCCAATTGGTCACCAAAAAGCATAAAAAAAGGTTTTAGCAGTTTCCCTGTGGCCACATGACAAGTTCATTCCAGTATGCATACCTCTCAATACTTAGTTCTCGAGTTATTCCTACTTATTATTTGACATTGTACTGTATGTGGCTACAAATGCCTCACTGTTTCCCTCTTTCAGCCTACCTGCCATTCAAATTTTACAACCCTCCTTAAAGGTATATTCTGGCGTACAATTAAGTGCGGGTCAAACACACCATCACACAGAGTTAGACACCCCCTCCAGAGATAACGGTTGTTGACCACTTGCTTCTGTAGTTATACCAACTTTAGCAACGACCGCAGGATAAGCAATACACAGCGGTCTCAGGACCCACGCACTCAACCAAAACGCCACTCTATAGCCACAAATAATGCTCAGAACAGCACCTAACTTCATCAACAGTACATATAGGGTCCCAGCCACAGCACTAGCCACCAAACATCCTCTTAGCTTTGCCTAATTTCTTTAGCAAAGAGACTAAACACAACATTACGGACTACAGCGGGGTGACGCAGCTCAAGGAAGAACATTTATGATCATTTCTTTATCATTTCCTTGAAGTTATAATCATCATATTGATTATTTTGCACTGCAGACACATTAGTTCTTCTGCCTCAGCGTCTCGGTCTGATTGTATTAGCATGAAGAAATGATCATAAATGTTCTTCCTTGAGCTGCGTCACCCCACTGTCGTCCGTAATGGACTGGCCCAAGGTCTTCTTACAAACAAGCGGCTGCTGGAAGAGAGTAGGTGAGTTCAATTTAGTATATAGTTTATACTCAATAGTATATATAGTATAACTAGAGAAGCAAGTGGTCAGCAATATTCATCTCTCGACGGGATGTCTAACTTGGTGTGACTGTGTGTTTGACCCTGAATTAATTTTACGCCAGAATATCCCTTTAATCCTTGTATTATGGATGTGCTCAAAGCTCCTCATATTGTCTAATACTAACAGCTTCACTAGCCATGCAAATTAGCTTGGAGGACTTAGTTTTTATTGTTTTTTTCCTCCTAGTAATCATCCTGCCATCCTATCAGTGAGGATTCCCTGTCTCATTCATGTGCCCCCAAATAGAAGAACCCGGTCTATCGCAAATCCCTAACCACAATTAAACAGCTCAGAGCTCTTCACCACATCATCTCCGCTGGGATAAGTGCATTCCTCAGCATCAGACACCACTAAAGAGTCTGAGAGCCTCATAGTTGAGGATACAGCTGTAATGTCTCAATGTAATGTTCCTCAGAAAGAAGACACCCCCTCACACAGTACTTACTGCAGTGTTTTCATGCCGAGCCAAGCAGAGGAGGCTTGTGCTGTGGTGGTAGCTGGTCATGGTGGCAGGATGGAGATTGAAAAAGGGAGGTGTGCTTTTAGGTACCCATAATAACTGGGATTATGCTTCAGAATGGTTCACTTCTAAACCTACGATCAGACAAATATTTATGGGGCAGTTTTGAATAGCCACACAGAATGCAGGGTAAATCCTTTTTCCAAGCTGTGTGGGGGGCATATACCCACCGGAGGGCGAGTTTAATCCCCCGGTTTAACCGGATGGCATGTGATCTGGAGCCCTGCTGAGGTGAACAGATTTTTGTCTGGAGCTGGACATGATGTTGCCAGACAGATGTTGTAATACCACATGGGTTGATGCAGTTATAGGGGTTATTGGGGTTGAGCTGGCCTGGGGAACCCATGCTGGGCTGAGTTTGTTTGGTGAATTATTGTTTTTCTCTTAGTTTTGTTCTTTATTTCCCCGAAATGCAGTATGTATCTTAGGGCATGTACTTTTTAAAATTCTAACCGAGTCTGCCTTTTTCTCTTGTTTTGAACTGTTGGCTTTTGAATGTGGCTGTTGAAGCCAGATTTAGTATGACGAGGAGAGAGACATCAAAATAATAGAGTATTTCAAAATATTGAGTGTTATTACTTAATGACATCAATTTAGTTATTAAAGCTGTCAAGAAAAGATTCAAAGACACTGTAAGGAACTTTCAGTTCTCCTCACAGTGGCTTTAAATTTGTCTAAAAGACACTAATCTACTCTGTGTGTGGCGTGTGCGCCCCCTTGAAGTCTGTGACCAGGTGTGTGCTGGTAGGTAGTCTTTAAATAAGCGATGATTGGCAGTTTGGTGTGTTAGATGTTAGAATAGGGCTGGGTGATAAACCAAAATAATAACTGACGTCATTTTGTCCATATCAGTATATTCAGTGTCAAAAAAAATAAAATAAATAAAGTTGGTTTTGGATGTGTGTAGGTAGGCTATGGTCTCATGTCTCTTGAAGATGCTGTCCTATGTCAGAGATGTGACTCCACTCCATCTCGTCCATAACAAAGAGGGAAAGTTAGGTGAGGAGATGGAGGACAGTTCAAAAGTTGTAGCAGCTGGAGCGGCGACTGAAGTAGACGAAGTTAATGTGAGAGGGGGTGAGCAGCTTGTGGAGACATTATCGTCCATTTATCGTTATAGAGGTGAATATATCATGATATTGATTTGAGGCTATATTGCCCAGCCCTATAGAAGTTGAAATTCAGTGAATTTGTATTTCATTTTTTTGTGATGGAGGGTTACAGTGAGGGTAAGAAATCACCACAGTTGATATCTCTGTGGGTGCTTTATGAAAAGTGTGTGACAGCAGCTTGCTTTTCAAACACTTTCATCATAGCACAATAACTGACCTAAAGGGAGATAGACAGTAAGAATATGGTGGGGCATCAGGCCATTTTTTGTGAACATAAGGCTACTATTTGATAGAATGACATGGTGCGAGTTCGATGCTAATGGTGATGTCAGCTAGAAATACAAGAAACACTACTTGTAGCTCTTGGGAAGCTGAATTAAGGACCTAACAAACATATTGGTGCATTACTCTTTAAGTGATACTTTTTGGTTGCTGATTAATTGGAAGAAGGTAAAAATTATATTATGTGTAAGAGCCTTTTTTTCTCTCTTGCACTGTGTCTGAGAGTGTAAAAAAGCTTTCAAGCTTTAGAGGCAGATAGCAGATGTGTAAATGCCCAAAATGAACCTGCTGTAATATTTGTCAATGAATTAATTTGAAGATTTATTTTATTGATTAATGTTTTTTCTTTCTCTTTTATGAGCGTGGTCTATACCTGCTCTTTTTTTTTTTGTTTTTTTGTTTTTTGAAAAGTGTCTTGGGATAACGACTGTTGTGATTTGGAGCTATATAAATAAAATTTGATTTGATGATTTAATTTGATTTGATTTGACCACTTGTACAGGACTCTTTCTATCCTCTGCTGAAGTAAGAAGCCTTTAATTTTTTCAAACTTTTTTTCGACATCTGTTCACCATTTAGCTGCTCCAGTGTGTGTGTTTCCCAGCTGGTTGTGTCCCACACAGCAGCAGTGATTTAGCCGCCCTCAGAGTGTTGCTATTGTGTCGACAAAGGAGCAGTTTTTCCTAAAGCCTTCTATTTTTCCCCCCAAATCTCACGTCTGCTCTTTACCAAAGCTTGGTTTATATTGTAAATTAAAAGGATGCTGTGGAAGTCTGCTGCTGCTGTCTTCTTTTTTGAGCAACAACCACGGCTTATTCTGAGCCCTAACCTCAGGTTTCCTCGCAACGTTAACAATCAGTTTAACGCCAACAGAAGCTAAAGGACACAACAGTAAATCAAACGCTCGGCTCTGTGCCAAGAGTGTGCTATAATCTGCATAATTCAGCTGATCTCTGCTGACTGTGGGTTTGGGTTTTGGCTTGAAGGTGTTTAAGGTTAAATAGATTACCTCCTAAACATCTTCAGCCTCTCTGGCCCAAGTTTGTCTCTTTGAGTCTCTGTTAGGCTAATTAGCTTCCTGGGATTCACTTATATAAAGAGGAAGAGTGCTTGTTTTCTCCCTAGGCTGTTGTTTTGTTGTATTGGCTTTGGTTCGCACATTTGCTCTATTTGTTGTGACAGCAGCACTTTTTAGGCAGTCACTCAATTACAGTGAGAAGGTGACAGCTCTCTCTCTCTCTCTCTCTCTCTCTCTCTCTCTCTCTCTCTCTCTCTCTCTCTCTCTCATTTACTGCTTTCCTCTCCTGTCTTTTCTGTGTAGCTTGTTTATGACTGATATTCATAGACAGAGCCATGTTTAAGGACTTCAACTTTAGATTTTTGTTCTGATTCTTGCTTTCTCTGTTTGTAAACTCTATCTCCTCCAGTTGCCTCCAGAACTACATTCCCCCAGAGTCTCTCACGCTGTCGTGCCCGGTGTGTCGTCAGACGTCGATCCTGCCAGAGAAAGGCGTCTGTGCTCTGCAGAACAACTTCTTCATCACTAACCTAATGGAGGTCCGACTGATAAAATCTCTTTCTTTACTTCATGTCAGAAACTTGTGTGTGAGCACAGCAGGATTTGGAACTACAATGAAGCTAATGATGTGATTGAAAACAGGGCAAATCTTATTTTAAACAAGTACAGATAAGAAATGGGATTGAAGATCTGTTTCTGTGTCTGTGTTTTTATGAGAGCCACTCTGAGTTTGAACAAAAGGGAGGACATTTTTGTGAAGTGATGTCATTCTGGATGGCTCTTTCCAGATGGGTTGGTTATAAACTTAAGTTTATATGGTTTGTAGAGATAGTGACAAAGTTTAACCATTTAGATACTGGAAGTTGTTTCCTGGTAGGTGCTTAAAGGGACAGAAGTGCAAAAATGTGTTTCCATGAATGAGATTGACAACAGGCTCAAAGGGAGCGGGGACTAGAAGTCAGGACACTTTTACAAATACAAACCCCTGTATTATTTGACTGTTAAGAGGGACACATAGTCCATGCTCCTCTTCCTGTGTTCTGTCTGTGTTTGCTTCTTGGCCCTCTCAAACATCAGGTAAAAAGGCAAAAACGTTCAAAAAGTGTGGAGAAAAGAAAACAAAGAGTATAAATAAAGGCGTCTTTTTGACATATCAGCTGATGAAGTCTTAAATGTGTTTGACCAGGTTCTCCAACGAGACCCAGAGTGCTCACGGCCTGAGGCCTGCAGTGTCCTGGAGTCAGTCAGCGCTGCAGTGGCAGGGAAGCCCCTCTGCTGCCCAAACCACGAGGGAAAGGTACGAGATTCCTCAACTCTGTAATCACCACGCCAAAGTTTTCACATTCTCATTTCTTAATTACCCACCTTTACAAAAATAAATCTTACTTTCCTGCCAAGGCCAGATGAGAGCGAACACTCATTTCTTTCTCCCTTTGTCTCCCCCTGCAGGTGATGGAGTTCTACTGCGAGTCTTGTGAGACAGCCATGTGTTTGGACTGCACAGAGGGCGAGCATCGGGAACATGTGACCGTTCCTCTGCGGGACGTCGTAGAACAGCACAAAGCTGCACTGAAGACCCAGCTGGATGCCATTCACAGCAGGTCTGGACTTACATTTCAGAACATTTTCTTCACATCAGGTGTTTTGGAAGCTTAAGCATTTGGCCCCTGCTTTCAAAGATGGCCTGTACTTACAGCTAAATTTTATGACCTTGATACAGTTTATTTATAAATCACCACATCACTGTCCCTGTTTAAAAATTTTCTTTTCAGTTGTTTTGAAATATTTTGCCTCTTTTACAATTACCTCAACTAGGGCTGCCAAAATTGCTCCAAAATGACGTTAGAATATTTTGTTCTAAAAATAACACGTAGGTTGGAACATATTTGAATATCTAGCTTACACAGCTTGCATATAACTTTTTCTAGCTCAGCATCTTTTCCGTCTACCGTGTCTGCCCAAAATCCGAAAAACTTCCAAACGAAGCTTCTAAAGTTTGTTGGAGTCCAGATCACTCCCTCCGCGTTTAGCTCTGAACATCCCGATGTCTCTGCATGTGTCATGGAGGGTTCCTGTCGAGTCTCCCTGCATGTGCAGCTCCTGTGACCTGTCCCTGACCCGTCGTTACAGTGCGCTCACTCGCAAACCAGACACAATTTTTTTTGTTTGTTTGTTTTTTTCCGTCTCAATTTTTTCCTGCTGTTTACTTAATATTCAAATGTTAATTTTCACATCGGAATCTCTTTTTTAAAAAATTATTCAAATATATATTCTTTTTACTCAGCAATATTTTTATTAGTTTTATACAGAATATACAAGGAAACACATCACAAACTCCCCCTTTCCCTCAAAACCCTGTCTACTGCTGGATATTTCTGTTACTGTGCTTAAGTACCTTCTTAAGGTTTCTGGAGGGGTGAGGCCTTGTCTTTGATGCTACAACTTTTTCTATTAATGCCCTTGCAAAAAATTCCTAGAAAATGTGTATTTTGTGATGAGGCATGATATACGTGAAATTGAAGAAAAAAAGTAAGTATGGTTATGTGTTTTTTTCTTGAAATACATAAGATGTTGAGGAATAAAAAGTAAAAAGAGGAAAAGTTAAATGAACTACTATACGTCAAGAGAAATACAAATATAGAAAACTGAAAAACTGAAAAAATCCATAAAAGAATTTGAATAATAGAGGCTGATCTAGCCAGGTGGTCAAAACCCAATTATTCCTTATGGGAATTTGGCAAAAATTACAATATTCAAAAATCAAAAAATGCACATAACTTTATCACTAATAAAAGGAAGCAATTTTTTATTTTATTTTACCATTTTACTGTATTTGGGCATGAAACTGTCTCAAATTTGTTATTCTGGTGTTTTTTTGTTTTTTTTACCATTTTGGTCAGTTTGACACACCCGTAAACTACAGCCTATGATAGATGCAGTCTTTTGGAAGGAAAATCTGCTACCTGTTTGTAATATACTGCCACAAGAGTTCGAATCAGATTTTACCCCCATTTTTTTGCATTTTATCTTGAGTCTATTTCCAATCCAACTTTTTCAAATCATGAATGCTGAAATTTCATTTGTTTTCATATCCGTTATTGGCCTTCAGTGAGAGGCCATTTTTTGCAAAAAAAAACAAAAGTAGACTGTAGAAGTGAATAAATCAGGTGTGCATGTATTTTTTTTCATGTGTTAGTGTTTTCCATGTGTACATGGTCGTGTGTGTTCGTGTGCAAATGTTTGTGCACGCGCATGATCTTGAGAAGTCACTGATGACAGCCATAATAAAAAAAGGGCAACTTTTTTTTTTTTATTTTCTGCTGTGACACAAAAACTGAAACTGCAACTAAAACTAATTTTACACATACTTATACCACTCATAGGTTCTGATAATCTTGCGCAAAGAAATTTGATTTTGCAATACTCTTATTATTTTTTACCACTTTTTAAAATTTTGGGCATTTTTTACGGTGTGTTTAGACTTAAATTAAAAGGGTTAAAAGTTTGAAACTGAGTGATTTTTTCTTTTGAGTGGTTAGAGCAGAAGTCACTGATGACAGCCATGATAAAAAAAGGGCAACTTTTCATTTATAGATGATTTTACAGGCCACTAAGTGACAGTGGCAGTTCCGTGCCACTAATACCAGATTAGTCGTTTCTTTTTATTTTCTGCTGTGACACAAAAACTGAAACTGCAACTAAAACTATTTTTACACATACTTATACCACTCATAGGTTCTGATAATCTTGCACAAAGAAATTTGATTTTGCATTACTCTTTTAATGTTTTTACCACTTTTTAAAATTTTTGGCATTTTTTACGGTGTGTTTACACTAAAATTAAAGGGGTTAAAAGTTTGAAACTGAGTGATTTTTTCTTTTGAGTGGTTAGAGCAGAAGTCACTGATGACAGCCATGATAAAAAAAGGGCAACTTTTCATTTATAGATGATTTTACAGGCCACTAAGTGACAGTGGCAGTTCCGTGCCACTAATACCAGATTAGGGATTCTGAGGAAAGAAGGTACAAGGGTTAAGTAACAACTTCTGGAGCTATAACAAAAATAATAGAATAAAATATAAATAGATAAAAAAATACAAGTAAGTGCTGGAATTCGGGTTTTTTAGATCTTGAAATACATAAGATGTTGAGGAATAAAAAGTAAAAAGAGGAAAAGTTAAATGAACTACTATACGTCAAGAGAAATACAAATATAGACAAGTCGCTGAAAACTGAAAAAATCCATAAAAGAACTTGAACTGTATGATTGTGAAACATCGCAGAAAAACATTTCAAAAATATATTTCAAAAAGAAAACAACTAGAAGAGGGGAGTGCTAATTCAAAATGACGAGAGTTTATTTAGATTTGAATTTAGAGTATTTGTTGACAACCCTAACCTCTACAATAATTATAACGAAAAAATCATATTGTTTTATCCTGCAGGCTCCCTCAGCTAACAGCAGCCATCGACCTGGTGAGTGAGATCTCTCGCCAGCTGAATGAAAGGAAGGCGGAGGCGGTGGCAGAGATCACCTGTACGTTTGAAGAGCTGGAGCGAGCGCTGCACCAGCGCAAGACGGCCCTCATCACAGACCTGGAGAACATCTGCAGCGCCAAGCAGAAGGTTTGTCGTGCTACACATGCTCTCTTTACCTTATTTTGCATAAAATGTCTGCACGCTTATTGTCAGATGTAGTCAAACAGGTCCTGTCACATGTCTCACATTCTTGTCAAAACACCTGAGACTGTTCACTATGTTGTTCTGACTTTTCCACCTTTTGTCTTTATCTTCCATGTACTTCCCCGTACCTGAGCACAGGTCCTGCAGACCCAGCTCTCGTCTCTCCTGCAGGGAAAAGAACACATCCAGAGCAGCTGCAGCTTCACCGAGCAGGCTCTCAGCCACGGGAGCGCCACAGAGGTGGGCTGATAGGTTGTAACTGGAACAGAAAAAAAAAAAAAAAAGTTAACAAACAGGTTACATCACATGGAGAAAAACAGCCGGTGCATGTGATGCAGCACATTGGCAAGGTCACAAAGGATAATTGAGTATGATGTGAAAAGAAGTGAACAGAAAAAAGGACTTGTTGGATGTAACGTGTTTGTGGGTACAGGTGCTGCTGGTTCAAAAGCAGATGAGCGAGCGGGTGACGGCGCTGGCGAGACATGACTTCCCAGAGAGACCGCATCAGAACGCACACCTGGACTGTCAGGTACCCACTGTTGTTTATTCTGACCTAACTATAAATCCTGTTGAAGGTGTCTTTAAGGTATTGTGCCCTAATAGTATCTGTTTTTTAAATTGATTTCAACGAAAAAATGAGACACCTTTTTGTCAATAGTTTTTCCTCTTTCTTCCTAAAACTGTTGGAGTGTAGATGTTTTTACACCACATGAGAAATTCAACTCCGATATTTATGCTTTTTTAAGTTTAGGTTGTTCCTCAGCTCAATACTTGCTTCATTGTCTTCTCAAGCAGCAGCTTTATATGGGATTATATTGTGTTTGCTCATACATCAAATGGAGCCAACCATGATAATTAAACTCTAGCAAGTCATAGGATCAATATATGAATTCTGCAGTGAGAAATAGATCTATTCTTTGTCTGGTTTCTCCTCTAGGTGGAGACTGAGGGTCTGCGGCGCTCCATCCAGAACCTGGGTGTCCTCATCACCACAGCCGCCGTGGCCCACACCTCCGTCGCCACGGGAGAAGGTCTCCGCCACGCAGCGACCGGGCAGCATCACACAGTAACTGTGACAACAAAAGACAAAGTAGAGTTTTAGTTTTGTTTCACATAACTGTTCACGCCATTGTTATATTTGATTGATTAGTTGGTTGATATCTTTATGGTGGTCTTACTGATCACCAGGGATGACTGTTTTAAAACAAATCTGCCTCTAAGGCCTGAAAGGTGCGTAATGTTTCAACATCAGCAGATCTTTTGTTCTCTGATATTGAATCAGTGACTCTTTTCTGCAGGACGGAGATTTGGTTCGGACAGGAAACGCTGTTTTAAAAGCAGAGATAATGTCTGCAGATGGGAACCGTGCCGCAGAGACAGAGATTATAGACAATAAGAACGGCACATATGAGGTGGGCTACACGTTACGCACTGAAGGCGAGTACTCCTTCTCTCTGATGCTGTACGGACAGCCGGTACGCGGCAGTCCGTTTCGCCTGCGGGCCGTCAAACCGTCAGATGTGCCACAATCTCCAGATGACGTGAAGAGGAGGGTGAAGTCTCCCAGTGGGACTGGGGGCCACATACGACAGAAAGCAGTGCGACGGCCTTCCAGTATGTACAGCACCACCAAGAAAAAAGAGAACCCCATAGAGGACGAGCTCATCTACAGAATGGGTAAGACAGATCCAGGAGGAGAAAGTACAAATTATTGTACCTTTAAATGTTGATCTTAGACTCCCTTGTCACCAGGAACTAGCTCACTTCACAGCTAACAGCTAAAACTTGGCATGAACAACTTGCAAGAAAAATATCTACATAGACACACAAAAAACGTTTTTTAAGTTTGATGAGTTCAACTTCAAAGAAAGCAGTGCAATCATAAAAAATATCTGAATTAAAACAAAACTTATATTTTACCTCCAAATTAGTTTTTTTCTCTCTTAAAATTGGCTAAGTCTACCACAGGATCCTACATTTACACATGTGGAACAAGGACTAAACTAAGCATGTGCAGAGTGAGTCAGGTGATTTGTAACTTGTTCCTGATTGGAGAAATTGAAAGTGTTCTAATTGACCCATTTAACAACCATCCCCGGTCTCCCCTACCCAAATGACAGTCGAAGTTTTCTCAAAGATGCCTTATAATTTCAATACATTTAAAGTATGCCTCCTCTGTATGGATAGAAAATTGTTATATTACCAAATACTATCTATAACCAAAGACTCAAATTCAGATAGGCTTCTCAGAGGTTTATTCAACATGTTTTATAATGACAAGCTTCAAAAATAACATATGAAATAATGATAGAAATAATGTCTCTTCTGTATCAGAGAAAAAAGTGATAAATAACTAAAAATACCCCTGCTATATTAGCGATCCAACTTCAACAGAAATAGCCCTCAAAAACTGACCAAAGAAAATCTATATCTTTAGTTTTCATCCTCATCCTAGTGGCCCAATGAAAAAATATGAAGACCAGGACATTTTCATCACTTTATAAAAAACAACCAGGTTGGCCAGGACAGGACATGAAAAAAGGACATGTCCTGAGAAAACAGGGCGTTTGGTTACCCTAGACCAGTGGTTCTCAAGTCCAGTCCTCGAGCCCCCCCGTCCTGCATGTTTCGGATGTTTCCCTGCTCTAACACACCTGATTCAAATGATCAGCTCGTTATCAAGCTCTGTGATGGCTTAATAACGAGCTGATCATTTGAATCAGGTGTGTTAGAGCAGGGAAACATCCAAAACTTGCAGGACAGTGGGCCTTGAGGACTGGACTTGAGAACCACTAGTCTAGACTAAGGTCAAAGTAACCCCATTTAAACTAGCCTGTATGCTACAAGCCAGGGTTACATATCAACTTAAAGAAGTCTGTCAACCTTTAGCAACTTCTAAGTGTGTCTTACGCCCTTCTAGTCATCTACTGTTTTCACTTTGATGGATAAAGTGACATCTAGAATAAAACATTAGATTAAAGACCACAAAATGAAGTTTGGCTGCTGGAGTGTCAATACGATAAAAAGGTTATCTAACTCTAACAAATAGATAAAGCTGCAGCATTCACTGTGTGAAAGATGACTTATCAAAAGTAGGTCTTTCTAGTCCTTGCAAGTGTAGTTTTTGAACCTTACTGGTATGAGCTCGAACCTGCTCTTGCCTGGGAGGAAGAAAACCTCCCTGAAAAAAATAACTTTGGCTTGAAAATTAATCAGTTCCTGTAAGTAACTGCAAAAAAACCACAGGTATGAGTAACTTAAAAATGCATGAAAGAAGGCAAAGACAAGAGCAAAGAGAAACAAGCAAGGGATACAAAACAACACGCTCAAACAAATTGAGTATAGAAATGCAAAATAACACCAGAAAGGAGAGAGAGAGAGAAAGGTGGAAATGTCAAAGAAGCATTTGCTGAGTGTGTCATTTTCATTTGCCAGGTACACGGGGCAGAGAAAAGGGGGAGTTCACAAACCTGCAGGGAATCTCAGCTACGAGTAATGGCAGAGTGGTGGTGGCTGACAGCAACAACCAGTGCATACAGGTGAGACCTACGGGGGAAAGTGTGTGTAAGCGCAATCATTGATGCCTTTGAGGTCAGACAGTGGGGGGAAACACAGCTCCAAGGTGTGATTTTAACAAATGTCACTGTCTTTACTGGAATGGATTACAGGTTTTCTCCAATGATGGCCAGTTCAAGATGCGTTTTGGGGTCAGGGGTCGCTCTCCAGGGCAACTGCAAAGACCAACAGGTGTAACTGTGGACATGAATGGGGATATAGTGGTGGCTGACTATGACAATCGATGGGTCAGCATCTTTTCCTCTGACGGCAAGTTTAAGGTGAGGTCTGAGAGGTTGTTAGTAGATTTTCTTTTTTAACACACAAAAATCTTTGCTCCTTCACATCATCTCTTTTTTTTTTTCTTCCTCCCTTACAGAATAAGATCGGAGCGGGCCGGCTCATGGGTCCTAAAGGTGTGGCTGTGGATAAGAACGGACACATCATCATCGTGGACAACAAGGCCTGCTGCGTCTTCATCTTTCAGTCCAACGGGAAGTTGGTGACTAAGTTTGGAGGCAGGGGGACGTCTGACAGACAGTTTGCAGGTAGGAGGCTTTGATGTGTAACATCAACAAAGAGGAGACAGACTGTAGCTGTGAAGCAGTCTGACAGTCACAAATGTAAACACAATGACTAATGTTTGTGCGTTAGAACGAAGATGAGGGAGCCTACAGCATGCACAACAGTTACCACTTCCAGATACATTCAGGATATTAACCCTTGAGTCAATGATGGATCAAAGGGGCGCTAGAGTGTCAGACTGGAGCCCTTGTTCTAAGCTACTTGCTAATATTTGTCAATAAAGACCCACAAAGACACACAAAATGGTCAGAAATTGAAAGATTTTATAACACTATCAGCTACGACCAGCCAAATGAACTGCAGAGGCACAACAGGACAGAAAAAAAAACAAAACAACAGGACACAAATGACTTCGAAAACACACATCTACAAAAAACACAACAGGAGAAAGAGATCCAAAACACATTGGCTGCAACGATACTGTAACCCAGGTCACAAAATGACCACATTCATATTTTTTCAGGAAGAAAAGGGAATTAAAAAAGGATGAAAAGAATCAATCCAATTGATAATGTGTTGAAATAATGTATTGTAATTATGTTTTCAAAGGTAATCCATTGGTGACACTTGAAAACAAATTCCATGCCATTAATCAGTCAATCTACAGGTGGGGAACGTCACTCACCGATTGGCGTTCTGTGTAATCTTAAATATCCGTGGTTGAGTTCAAGTGGTCCTTTGAGTTCTAGTTGTTTGAGCTGCTGTTTAATTCATCGATAATGTTGAACTGATGTTTCTGCAGTTATTTAAACTAAGTTTAAGGAACTCTGTTCAGTGATACGTTCCACTCAGCGTCTCCCCTTCGTCTGTGTCTTACTTCCTACTTAAAACTGCTGCATGTGTGCTACCATTGGCTGGTAGTGCTCACACGAGATTTGAAACGTGATTTGACAAGATTCCGCTGATATCATGGTGTTCGATTTAAAGTGTCACAAATGGATTACCTTGTAAAACATAATTACAATTCAGTTTTCTTTCGTGCTTTTGTATCAAACAGTGCTCTTTTATTTTTTCTCTCCTGACATGTTTCGACGGACTCTTCCGCCTTCATCAGAGTGTCACGTGATGGTTGTGCGACGCGTACTTGTGACAGCTGAACGAAAGAAAACTAATTACCTAAAAAGACTCAAGTCTTGATACACTCATAATTGCAATACATTATTTTAACTCAACATTATCATTATTATTGGATTGATGGTTTCGCTCTTTGAATTCCCTTTTTTTCCCCTTAAAAATATTAATCTGGTCATTTTGTGACCTGGGTTACAACACACGACACTACCATTGTCCACTTCACTATTTGTTTACACTAACTGTGAGTTTAAGAGATCAACAGTGGATTCCTGTGTTTTCTTCCTATGACTGAATACAGATCAATGCATCACATCACGTGTTTTCTTTTGATTGAAAATGTAAGACTGTGCGTACCTTCAGGCAGAGTGCCAGGCGATGCCACGACCCCGTGCTCACCCACCCGCAAACTACGCCTGTGCTGACCACCCAGCTCTATTTTCTTCTTTGCTTATCCTTCATCTCTGACCACCATTTTTTTTCTTCCTTTCTTTCTGTTCTTCCTCCTGCTTTTTTTTTTCAATCCAGAAAAACTTGGCCCAAACTTTAATAAATCTGGCTCAGTTTTCAGTAAGTACTAAGTGTGGCCTTGCTGCAACCTTAATCCCACAGTGCAGTGACCCCCTCCTCCCCCTGTCTAACCCGACTCCCTGATTATGTGTCTGACCCCCCTGAGAACTCCAACTGTGGATGAAGTGCTGAATCACAGTGTATAATAATCATCACGGATACAAGTCCATGCACATTGTAATAATCCCTTCCTATTACAATAATGAACATTTTGTCACATGCATTGTGTAGTTTGTGTATTTTGTTATGAACAGATGAGTGTGGATGATTCGACTGCTCTGACTGAAGTGAAGTGAAACTAACTGATGATCCGTGTTTGCTACGAGACGCAATCAGAGCTACAATTAGCATTTAGTGAATGACCTCAAATTAATCCAACTGAAGTATATTTGTGGATGTATTTTAGTGCATAATTTAGTGTGTTTTATAAAATTTTTGAAAACAGAAAAATTACTGTACAGCTTAAATAAAAGCATCAACTGTGATGAATGAAAGGAATGCAATCAAATTACCCCCAACATCAACAAATCAACTGACCTATTTATATTTGCTGATTTACACTGAAGTAGTTAAGGTTTATCTGAAAATATACTAACAGTATAAGAAAGCATGAAAATTACAGGAGTCTGTAAACTTTAAGTATGAAAATACCTCACCCTCTCTCCTCTTACAGGTCCGCACTTTGTTGCTGTGAATAACAAGAATGAAATTATTGTGACCGATTTTCACAATCACTCTGTAAAGGTAAGTCGTGTTTTTTGTTAATTTCTTCATAAGCAGTTTTCTCTCATTCAGATAAATTTTCTTTACAAAGCTGGGAATACAAAAAAAAATCCAGAGATGTTGCTTGAACTCACTTTTTGTCTCAGGTCTATAGTGCAGATGGAGAATTCTTGTTCAAGTTCGGCTCTCACGGCGAAGGCAATGGACAGTTTAACGCTCCCACTGGAGTGGCTGTGGATGCTAACGGGAACATCATTGTAGCCGACTGGGGTAACAGCAGAATACAGGTGAGACAAACGACTCTCTGTCCTCTTTCCACTGCTGCGTGGACTCATTTTTTTTTCATTTGCTTTAGAGAGTAAATTACAAAACCTTCTTTTAATAAAGTTTCTGTCAAGGTCTTTTTGGGTTTGTTGGTTTTGTTGCCCCTGTTGACGAAGCAAAATGATTTTTGCCTGATCTTCTAAACCTTCCTCCTGTGTTAGCTTTTACTACGCACCCACCATGTTAAGGGTCGGTTTTGACCGATGTCTTAAATCAGCTGTAAATTACACTAAAAACATTTCTCTATCATCCAGTTTGGTTCTCATCTCTAGGTTACCTTGTTAGGCTTCATTATCCATGAAAATATTGCTTATAATATTTTTGTAGTGGTCCTCTGGGTCTTTCTTTGTCAGTATACCCCTCATACAGACATCTATACTGAATTGATCTCACATGTCTGGACATACCCGACATTGTTTTTTGTTCAGAGAAGAACATGTAAAAAATGATAATTTCCTAAATCTCACATGACTGGAAGAGGATCTAACTGTCAGTGTGGTGCCTGACAATGCATATATGATTTTAGTTTTTACTCTGATTATTAGATATTGATCTAACCGGGTCAACAGCGACCCTAACACGACAAGTGCCATAATTTTAATAAGAGCATTTTATAATTTATACAATTTATTTTTTTATTTTTTATTTTGTTGATATAGAGGTTCCTGACAAAGTCACAAGTCTTGATGCAAAAAAAGCAAATTTAAATGGTTGTTTTAAGCATTTAAAAACAAAAGCGGGTTGGTGCAGACCCTAACACAGGAGGAGGATTTAGTTTGTAACATAAAGTCCCTCTATCAGCAAGACACAAAGCTGAAACTTTATTTTTACTCTTTTTTTTCTGTTTCAGGTGTTCGACAGCACAGGCTCCTTCTTATCCTACATCAACACATCAGCAGACCCTCTGTACGGCCCTCAGGGCCTCGCCCTCACCTCAGATGGACATGTGGCTGTTGCTGACTCGGGCAACCATTGCTTTAAGGTTTACAGATATCTGCAGTAAGCTCAAGACGTCACCGACACACAGCTCCTGATCACACAGGTTAAAATCACTTATTGCTTGTGGATATAGAGCTGCAACATGCCTGCGACTTTTCAGTGACCCCAGGTTTCATGACGACATTTCCTTTTTATTTGTCTGTAATAAAAGAATAAATATCTGCTCAGAAAAAAAAGGTGTTTCCTTGAAAAACAACGTAAACTACAATCATTCACTTGGATAGTTTGACAGTTTTTATACTGTTTCAAATACTGTGGAGTCAAAAGCAAAATTCCTGAAGTCTGTGTTAAAACTTAAGAGTATTAAAGTTCTTATAAAAAGAATAAAAGTAAGTCATTTATTTACTTACCAGTGGTTCTCTCTCTGGTCAAAAGATCAGAGGAGACTGTGCTGATAAAGGAGTGTTGAACAGAAAACAAAATTCCTTCATACCCAAACGGTTTGTGGTCTGTCGATCTCAAATTTTCTGAATTAGATTTTTTTAAACCAAATCCCCCTGAGGGATAAGATGACCTGGAGTTGGACTTCTGAAACTGGCTGTTTCAGCTCTATTTCTCACACGTTGGACCTCACCAGTACAAAGCCTTCTAGTGTGAAGTTGGTGCGATTTTTTGGGGCAGTGCAGATGAGCAATCCTCCCATCAACCAGCAAACAAAGTGACACACCGAAGCAGGAGTCTCCTCCCTGTTTCCGTGCTTTGTGATTGAACTATGCTCAGGCATCTCCTCCAACACTGTTGCATGCATCGCGCTCCGAAAAAATGTCACCGCCTTCAATTCCTCAGCAGTAGAATCAACACGCAGACAGGAATGTGTCGTTAAAGAGAAGTGATTTCTCATTCAGCACCTTATCACACTGACAAGATACCTGCACATGAATCATGATTTTTAATCTTTTCATTTTGAGATTAAACTGACCTGTATGAATACTTTTGGTTCAGTACCCAAAGACAAGCATCAAAAGCACAACAGTAAACTGAATGACAAGGTTTTTGAACACATCATAACCAGCTCGTTTTTGCTTTTTTGTTGTCTCTTATAACAACCAAAACAAGCCCCCGCTAGTTCTTGCACTTTTGTGTATCATATCTACAACCTGTTGTTGTTGTACATATGCATATTTAAGTGTATATACGGATTTGGTGTCCATGTTATTTCACTATATAGCCTACTTAACGAGAATTTTAACACTGGGATATATACTATTACATTAGAAGGTCAGGCCAAGTAGTAGCCAACAAGAATGACATCAATGGAACAAAGTTGTATGCGCATTATTTGCTGTATTTTTATTTTTTCAAATGACTTAATTTATTTTTATTTTTATTTTCTACATAATTTGTTCTACAAATTATTTTTCTAATTGGTGCATTTTTGCCAAATATTATTGTACATAGGCCTTGTGACTTGTAGCACTGAAAGCTGTTATCTCTTTAGCCTTTCCCCCGCCCAAAGCTCACATCTGGTTTATAAACAGTAACTTTTTTTCCTTCTGCCAAAAAAACCGTATCGTCGTAAGTTGTTGTTGAACATTGCACAAAAACGCAAATATTCTAAGAGTTAAATCGTTTGCAAGAGTAATATATGCCTCTATGTATAGCTATCATTTAACATAATCAGAAAGTGTACTGTATATTACAATCATGTTCTTGTTGTAGCTGACAAGCACCTTTATCATGAGGTTTTTTTTTTTTTTTTGTATGCGTTTTCTTCATAGTTCAGTGTTTGGAGGGTTTTCTTCGAAAGAACACAACACCAGCTAACATACAGTGACACCAACTTTGTCACCTGTGTTTTATGAATAAGTTGTCTTTCACTGACAATCTGTAACCCATTCCTGTCCTCCCCATCTGCCTTTTTTTTCTTACTGGCGACACTGTAAAGACAAACTAGACTCTCTTTTCTTCCCATACAGTGTTCCTGTTTTTATGTCTGTCTCACCCGTGTGTGACCTCCTCATATCTGTGTGAAATAAAGGAAGCACATATAACTGAAACACTACATCAGTCATCACGTGTAGCCTGCTGTATACTGCAAGAGGCCAGTCTAACAAAACCTAATTACTGCATTTATGTAATCATGGCAAAGGTATAATTGTAAATATTAAAGAATGACACTATGAACTCATGTGCTAATGGTCTATTTTGTGAAAACAGTTTCATTTAATGTAGCTTTGTGTTCAGTTTTAAGTGATATCCTTTCTTCAAGCTTAAACGCTCCTTTATGCGCCCTGGTGGCTGTTGGAAAAACAATTATTTTAGCTGGGATGTGTTGTAGACTCTGACACAAAATGCTAAAAATAATTGTAGATACCATAGATATTTAAGGCTAGATGAGTCAAGTCCCAGACTGCCGCCATCTTGGAGTGGTGCTTGTTAATGGTTTTCTATGTGTTGAAGTTTTGGAAGCCTGTAGTTTACCTGATAACAGCATTTGTTTACATTCAAAACAACGCTTACCACCATTCACCAGTACCGCCCCAAGATGGCAGAAGTCTTAAAATTTGTGCTGCAGTTGTCTCATATGGGTCATGAGGTATCTGGTGTTGGCATCTATTGTGTATACACTAAATCATATTTTCACACAGTGGCATTTAAGATATGGCTGAAATGTTTTTAAATGTTAGAGCTTGAGGCATTTTCACCTTTAAAAAAACAACCATTGACACTTCTTTTTATTAAGACCATCTACCTTTAAAGAATAAGAATAACTTTAATGATCTCTGAAGGGAAATTCAATTGTCTCGTCTCATTTGTCATGTCAATCTAAAATTCATCTACTATTTACAGAAGAGTTGTAAAGTCTGATGGCTGAAGGTACAAAAGATCTTCTGAATCTTTCTGTCCTGCAGCGAAGAGAGAGGAGCCGTCCACCACCATTGGCCCTTTGGTCCATCAAGGTGTTGTGAAGTGGGTGATCCATGTTCTTTAGAATAGTCTCCACCTTCCTCAGTGTAGATCTCTCCACCACATCCTCCACTGAGTCCAGCTTGAGTCCTACCACAGACTCAGCCTTTTTCCCCAGTTTGTTCAGACGTCTTGCATCCTTGTGTTTGATGCTTCCTCCCCAGCAGACTGCAGCGTAGAACAGAACACTTGCCACCACAGACTGATAAAACATCTGCAGCATCTTACTACAGATGTCTATTGATCAGAGTCTTCTCAGGCAAAAGAGGCAGCTCTGCCCCTTTCTGTAGATGAAGTCTATGTTCTTAGACCAATCCAACTTATTATCCATATGTACACCTAGGTATTTAAATGATGTCACCACTTGAATGTTCACTCCACAGGTGTTCATTGGCTGAAGATGGGGTTTGGATCTGCAGAAGTCTATGACTATCTCTTTTGTCTTTGAGATGTTGAGGAGGAGGCAGTTTTTGTGACTCCAGTCACTGAAGGCTCATATCAGATCTCTGTGAATCAGTGACCTTTGCAAGAAAACCATCAAAATCTGTGACTTCAACGCTAGATTAATTATACTAAAATAGGTCCAGTATTTACCATGACTAAACAAGAATGTGGAAATTTATTCTGTTATAAAATCACTGAGGAAACTAATATGCCTCAAGCATCTTCTGATTTCCATTTTATTATGTTTTATGGCCTATAGCTCAGTTTTAAAAGGATATTTCAAAATAGGACAATATGTTGATTTAAGTTTGAATAAATAGTCAAACAGTTAAAATACCATGCATATCTCAGTCTGAGTCAGTACACAGAACCACAATCATGGGGAAGGCTGCTGACTTAACAGTCGCCCAGAGGATGATCACAGACCCTCCACAATCTATGTACTGTGACGTCCCAGGGCCACAGAAGGTCAATGCTGAAAAGGCTGGCTGTTTGTGTGCTTTATTGAAGCAGCTCAATGAAAAGTTGACTTGAGAGAAAACGTGGTTAAAAAAGGTGCAAAAGCAACAGGGATTCTTGGAGCCTTGAGAGGTAAAAAAAAGTTGAATTCAGGAGAATTATGGCTGGTGTCAGTGCATCAAGAGCCACAGGGGAGACAGAGGAATCCAGCTGTCTAGTTCTCAATACCAAGCAGCAGAAAACAGCTAGACTGTTACTTAGAGATCTGAAGAGTCCTAAACTCAGATGAGAGCAAATGTTGCATCTCATTTGGAAATCACGGAATCAGGAGGATGATTGGAGAGGCACAAAATCCAAGGTGTTTTAAGTCCAGTGTGAAGTTTCTGCAGCCTGTGATCATTTGGGATGCCATGCCATCTACTGGTGTTGGTCTGTTGTGTTTTGTGAAGTCTAAAGTTAATGCTGCTGTCAACCAGGAGATTTCAGTGCACTTCATGTTTCTGTCTGCTAACAAACTTGATGGAGATTTCCTTTTCCAACAGGATTTAGCACCTACCAGCAGCGCCAAACTCTGGCCTTAGGGTTTACTGACCAGTTAAAGGTCAGTAAACCCTTATTTAGGGAAAGAGAAGATGAGAAGGAAAGTCTAGCTGAAGTGAGCCCCCCTGAGGACCCTAACCAAAGGAATCATGTTCCCACCAGCATACGGTTGAGTGCTGAGATAAGGATTTTACAGCAGAGGTCTGGAGTTCAGTGTCCAGTGCCTCTGATATTTCACTGGGTTTCCAAGTGAAGACAATAAATCTAGTCTCAGTTCTCCAGTCAGAGGTCTGGGACCAGATGAGGAACCTTTCCTGTGGTTTGTTTAAGTGTCACTGAGAGTTATCGTTGCTACAGCAGTATTTAAAGGTAAAGACGCCCAAACCAAGTACTGAGTGTAAAACTAACTTAGCTTTGAGACGATGGCTGTTTCTGTGTTGCTAATTGTTAGAATAATGTGCATAAATGTATATAGAAGTTATCATTATTCCTCATATTCTTATGTAAGAGTTTATACTACAAGTATAAACTCCTTTGACCTCTTTTTATACATCATATGAGTATTTTTATCATATAAGAGTGTTTTCTAACTTCTCTCTCCAATAGCTTAATTACACAGCACATGAATGTTTTCTTAACTTCTCTGTGAACTCGTTTCTCCTATCAGCAGGTGTGTGTGATGTATCCTCCACTATGAATCGTGGGAAGGACATAAGGGGAGGACACCCTTATCAGAAGGAGCTCGTTAGATGCTGCCTTGACCTTCACATATTCACAAGCTGTTCATTATTATGCTTTATGAGAGTGTTTACGTTGCTACACATATTTTTCTCCACCCTTTTAGAAACATTGTGTAACCAGGGACAACACTAAATAAAAGAGACTGGGCGGAAATACCTTTCAGAGTGTTTTCGATATGGTACCTGAAGCTATCTCGGTCCATTCTCCTCGAGTATATACCATTGTCTTTCTCTTCTTTATGTTATCAGGTAAATGTTGCAGGTTTTAGACCTAACACTAATATTTTTTTAATTGACTTTAGGAAATATCCTAACAAAATGAGGAACTAGAGTTCTTATTTTATTGTCCTTTCAGCCATTATTATCTAAATTAACATAAAAATAATCTTGAAATATTTCACCTAACGTAAAAAATATAGATAATACAATTGTTCAGCTTTTTCAATTCAGTTACAACAAAATAAATGAACTTTTGTTGAGCACCTGTATAAGCAAAGGTAGTCAAATTCGACTCATGTTCAGAACACCTCCTGCCCAGGAGCCTTTAAGAAGTCTGACTGATGTCAAACCATCTAATGTCCTGATATGAGAACTATTGCCATGGATACCAAGTTTTTTCCCTTGAATGAATTCCATTCATGTTCAGATATTTGTATCACACCACAGTATGGTCAGCTATTAAGATGTCCTTGGGAAAACTGACATCTCTGCCAAGCAGCAGAATTTTAAAAAAGGTTATCAATGAGTCATAATCACCAGAGCAGGAGGAGGAGGAGATGGAGAGAGCTGTTTTCTCACCTCCTCCTTAAATGTTCTGGCAGTTTGAAAAGCGCGTCAGAGTCACGAAACTGTCTCACTAGGATGCTGAATTAGGATTCTGGACCTGCATAGCAAACAGGGGGAGAAAAACATTTACTCTAGTTAGCATCCTGGTCACAGCAAACAAGTCCTTTTGGCATTTGTGACAAGTTACATGCATACCACAGTTCAGGTGTTACAGTCTGACTACAAGTCGGTACCGCTATTAGACGGTGACACAAAGTCCTTGTATAAGTTGAAACTGCAGCACAGCATTATAAGGAATAAATAGATCCATAAAGACAGCACCCAGATTGTTGACAAGGTCTGATTCCAGTAATTTAGCACAACATCCTACAGCCGTGTCCAGCAGCTCCCCGATATAAGGAGTGTCTTTGTTTTCATGCTGCTAAATGTACACGTAACACAAAGAGGGTACAGCAAATAAACCAAATGTTTTTCCTCTTTTAATCTCACTTCAAGTCTGAGAAACACCGAGCATATTAAGAACAGACGAAAGGATCACAAAGTGTAAGTATCTTTGTTACACGGTCAAGACACAGCTCAAAAACAGTAAAGCCTCATACGGTAAAAGCAAAAATGAGATTAAAAGGCAACAATAATGTCACAAAATAAAATACTGTGGCAGTTCATGAAAAAAAATCACATTGCAGACAGTACGTGTAGAAGCAAATACTCAAGAGTTTCAGTTTTTAAGACTAATATGGGATTGGGATTAACGGACTGTCGAGATAACCAGTCTCAATTTATGTTGAGTATCATGCTGTTAAATGTTTTTTTAATTCTCCTCACTAAGACCTTCTGAAAATCAAGTAGTAAAACAGGTCAGGAGGATTGCAAACATCCGACCTGTTAGTCCATCTTTCCCATCACAGTACAAGTTAAAGTCTAATGAGAAAAATTTTAACTCATAGTCCAATGGAAGAAAAAAATATACATAGAAGAGATGTGTGTAATTTTTACAATAGAAAAAATAAAAATACATGTTACAGGTAAAAACTTAAAATCACACTGAGTTATGTTTGATCATCAGCTTCAAAATGACGGGACAAAATTGCAGCATTGAGACAAACATTAACTAGTGATGAAGTGAAGGATTACTACAAAAATATTAAGACCGACTTATCTGCTTGGTGGTCTTAAAATGCAGTCTTTTAGGTTTTTATTTAAGTCAATGAGGCTCCTGGCTATGAATCCTGAATGTTTTCGCTTTTGAGAGTAAAACACGTCGACCCATCGCTGCTCACGTAAAAGAAGCTGCAAAGTGAATCTCAAAGCAATATACAGAGGAATGTCTAAATACGTCAACAATGTACAAAATAAAAAAAAAATGAGCACAGATGACGTTAAAAAGCCGACATCAACATCCACTAAACACCTCGAGCCTTTCTGGAAGTTTGATTATCGTCTAAGAGCTGAGGTCCCAGAATGAAGCTGATTTAAGTCAATCATTCTGTTAACATGAGGGGATACTATCAGTGTGACAGCACAACAACAGCACTGTCCCTCCTTAAATGTAAGAGTTAAGATACAGTAGAATAGTAGAGCTGTTTTGATCACTGAAGAGCTGTGTATACTCTGAGAAGAGCTTCTGGAACTCTGCAGACACAGTGATATAGACAGCAAAGCACCTCTCCAAACCCCCCCAGCCACTCTAGCTAGGAGTGTAAGCCTACAGTGTGTGTGTCAAGGTCAACCTATAAGTAACATGAAGTCCATCCTCACAACCACTGTTTGTTTTTAAATCCGCAAAAACCCACGAGTAACAGCTCAAAAGCTTACAGTACATGGCTCAGAGTGTTGACTCCCGCCTGATCTGTGAAATAAAACTTTACTAGACCTGCAAACACCACGCCTACGAGAGTTAACGACATTCAAAACAACCTTCTCAGTAATAGTGGCATATCTGCAGCCTGCTGCCTGGGTCATTCTTCCCTGGGCTGAAGAAAGGATAGACGGGCTCCTCAAAGCAGGTGTCAAACATGTACAGTCTCTTCATTGTGACGGCGTCGTAGAAACTAAGGCGCCCATTGTCGTAGTCCAGGTACACCCCGACTCGAGGAGAGTTCCAGTAGTCGGCGACAGGAATGCGCCCGTCCTCTCCGTTAGCGTACAGACGGTCCTGCAGGCACAGGCTCCAGTATCCTGCAGAGGGAGTGAGACTGACGAAACCCTTCCTGTTGCTGCACTCAGTAGTGACTCCCAGGTACCACACGCCTTTGTCCTTCACATCCACTTCCCAGTAGTGCTGGCCGCTGGCGTACTGGGCTGTGGCAAGGACGCCACAGAAACGGGTGAAGCGGGCCGGCAGGTCTGGCTCCTGGCTACGGACGCGGCCCTCCTCAACTTTAGTGTCAAAGTCTGAGATGAGCAGGTTTGGGTGAGCGGTGTCTGGATCCAAGGTGAGGTTCTGAGGCACTTTACAGAGAAACAGAGAGAATCAGAGGAGAAACCCAAAACATAACAGTGCATGTTCCTATGTTGAAGCTACTCACTTGTATGCAGCACATGCATCATTTTCTTCCACATGATAAGTTGGAAGGGCCCTGAGAAGTCGGTGAATTCAGTCTGACAATTAACTGGCTCAAGAGATGTGAAAGACTTGCAATGGATGGCTCTGTGGAGAAAAACAAATGTTAAAAAAAAATTAAAACATCAAAATTATGTGAAACTCTTTTTTCCCAAAAGTAACTTAGAATGTCATTTTTAAGAACTTACTCGTTGAATGTCTCTGCCAAGCTCTGTTGGAATAAAAAAGAAGAAAACATTGATTATTTCTAAACATTCATGTCAATCAAACGGCCCAATGATGACGTCGTTTAAGTCAATCCAGTGGTAGTTATGAAGTGTATCATAGAAATGTGCACTCTTGCTGTTAAGTGCAATGTGTGAAATCTTGTTGTCCTTGCAAGTAGTGTGAAAATGTTCAGCTGCTTGGTAAAAAAAGGCATTGAAATGTCAGCTTCAGCACCACATAAAAAAGTAGCCTGTGAGCTGTGAAGCCAAAGACGATTTTCTTTTTGGTAAAATGCAACTTAGTTAAGCTCAAAAGTCAATAAATGCTTGTTGTTTTTACATGTCATCATTGTCATTTATTTTGTACAGCATTTTCAACCTAAAGAGCTACTGTTAGCAAATGTCTGCCCAAATATTGTACATGCCTCTTCCCAAAACACGTCAACAACAAGAGGAAGGAGATACCAGATTTTTTTGAGACTGACCTCAAAGCTAGTTTTCCCGCTGATGTGGCTGTGGATATTAGCTATAGCTTTTTCCACAGCTGCAGTCTCCTCCTCCACAATCTTCATGTTGTCATCTATAACAGCCATAGTGGCCACCTCCTCGGCATCTAAGCTCTCCAGCAGGGAGTCTCTCTCATCTAGCAAGAACTGGACCAGGGCACCAACATCTGCCTCAATCTTCTCCTTCAGTCTCTGTTTCTTCAGCTGGAAAAAAAAACAATCACAGAGATGAATAGCATGATGAGAAAAGTATTAGTTTGGCCAACAGACATGTTTTGAAACATAATTATAATTAAAAGGGCCGTTCCATACCCTGACTTCATTCCTGGTGCGCTCATCAGCTGTTAGAACTTTTACACACTGAGACTTCTGCCAGTTGAGCTCCATTAGTCTGAGTTTCAACTCCATCTGGAATAAGTGCATATAACAAAACACAGAGGGATAGAACAATTAATTATGATATGAAACACTATGGCAGAGACTATTCACTCTCCTGTGAAGCACAATACAACAAATGTAACGTCAGGACTTACCTTCATGTCATTCACAACCTCTGGGACTGGTGCTACCTCATGGTGTCTGGAAAGACAAAAAGAGGGAATTTAAGTGAAAGAGTTGACTCTGTTCATGTTCAAGTCACTATGACTTTAAACTTCAGACTCTCTTAAAACAGTCATGTTCACAGACTGTAGTGTTTAAGCATCGGCTAGATCTTGAAACTCCTCAAAGTACATTTTCACAAACTATTCTTGAGGAAAAAACATTCAACATCATGTCTTTTATTTACATTGATGTTAAAAAGGTGCAGATAAATACTCCAAAAGCTCTGTTGCTTAGCAATACATAAACCCTTCACAAAGTTTCAACGGCCCTGACATTTGCTTAAGCCACAGGTGTCAAATCTGGCCTGTGGAACAATTATATCTGGCCCAAAAGATCATATCATATTTGTATTATTATTGGCCCACCAGTATGAAGTCTGCAGATTTCCCTCAGTATAATAATGTAAACTTTAGCACAATTTTTTAAATGTCCTTAATAAGCCACTAAAATCTGGGAAATTAAAGACAAATACAAAAATTTGATAAACGGTCAAGAATGTGGGGGGAAATATATTTTTTGTTTTATTTAAAGTTTTAAATTTTGCATTTCAAGATTACAAGTCAAACATGATTGGATTTTTTATTTCATGCTTTGATTTTGTTCAACTCAGTATTTAGACTTGTGTCATTTTTATACCTTGGATTTCAATTTTAAATTTCAAGTCATATTTTTACCTTTTATACCGGATTTCAATGTTCTCCTCATGTATTAGCACTTTAAAAAGCATTATTTTTCTATTTTTAATATCATGCTCTGATTTTTTTGAACTAATAAATAAAAATAGAATAAAAAATAAAAATTAAATACATTTTTCTATCTCAGTTTGCCTTTAAACTTATCTTTTTATTTATTTTTTTTAATTTCTGAATGATGTGTAAATGGAGGTTGACAGTTTTGGTGAAATGTTGACCCTGTTCGACCCTCAGGTTGGACCTAAATCCAGATTATCCCCTTGCTGTGGATGAGTTTGACACCCCTGTCTTAAGCCTTTAGACTGTAAAAGCGAGTGTGTGCAGTGAAATTAAATGTCCTTGACTCTGGAGATAAAACTGTTGAGACTTCTGTTTATCTCATGCAGCTTCTTCATCCAATCACACAGAGAGCCAAATGGCAAGCTAAGATGGTGCTGAATCTATGTCAAGGATGATTTGTTTTTAATCTACATCATGATGACATGTTGAGAAGATAGTTGATAACAGGGTACAAATTGAATTAAAGTTTTTGTATCAAAGAAAATTTAACATTGGTCAACGTTATGTTACAATTATAAAACTCAGAACTATTGGCTTTCTGGTTTTTACAGTAGAAGCATGCATTCACTGCCTTCACCTACATTGTTGGTCTCTGAGGAGAACAAATTCTGCATCTTTAAAGTAAAAATGGCACAGTCCAAAATAAAACACATACACTCAGCAAAATGCAGTATGCTTCGTGCATTTGACTGGACATTTTTAGTAAGGCAAGCAGCAGCTTTAGAGAAACAAGTACACGTTGTTCTGCTTTTCTGCAGACCGTGACACACAAACTACCTGTGTGCTCTGGATTCCCTGCAGACAACACAGATGGGCCTCTTATCAGTCTGGCAGTACAATTTCAGCTCTTCGCCATGTTGGTCACATTTCCCGTCCACTTTCACGGGCTTGGACGGAGCCGGACAAGAACCCAGGCAGTCCAAATCATCCAGTTTGGACACCAGGTTCTGAACCAGGTAGTTTTTGGTGAACGTCCTCTTGTTGAACACCTGGAGCATCAAATACAGAGAAGGGTTAAACAGAAACGACGCAGATTCTGTTTCTAGGAGACTAAAAGTGAGGTGTTGTTTTTTTTATTAGCTTATTTTAAAAGATAATATACAGTTGCAGTTGCTGAACTACTGAGGGTTTCTAGTTCAAACACGCTAGCTAAGGTTCGCTATCATAGCAACGGTAGCTACGAAATACACTGCGTAGATAATACTTTTACCACAAACAGTCAACCAGCCCAATTAAAATAAACTGATAAACAGTTTTCAGTGAAAAGTCAGATGTCAGAGCGTGTTTCATGAGGATAAAAAAAGCTCAATTCAGAAAATGTGGTTTTTTTTTGCTTACCGTTCGGCATTGAGGGCACTGATACCCGTAGTCTCCGCCATTTTCATCCCAGTGCATGCAGATACAAAAGCGACAGAAATTGTGTCCGCATTTCAGGATGACAGGGTCTTTAAAGAAGTCCAAACAAATCGCACACGTGAGCTCTTTTCGCAGGTCGTCTCCAGCTGCTCCAGCGGTAGCCATGTTTACAAGCCAGCGCAACAGTGCCACTGCAGGAAGGGGAAGGGAAGGGAGGAGGGGAGGAGGGGAGCGCGCACATTTGTGGTGCGTCATCTTCTGTCTCAGCCAATAGGATTCGTCCTCCCACCCTAATCGCAGGTCCAGCGTCTGATGACGGAAATGAAGGGATGCTGCTTCAATGTAATCACACTATTATTCGAGTACAGTAACAGACCACACACTTCGTTCATGATCTTTTTAATTTGCATAGCTCAGACTTTATTTCACTCTCTGCTCTTGAAAGAGGTGTGTTTGACCCTAATTTAATTTTACGGCAGAATATCCCTTTAATTGGAAATCATTTCAGGTCAAAAATATTCTAACTTGATGTTTCCACTCTGATTTATTAACTAGTAAACATTTTTAACCTCACAATTTCATTATGGTCAAAATAACACCTGGTGTCAGATTAGATGAGATTATAGTAGATTAGACTGAACTTTATTGATCTGTTAGGGCAGGTTAGAAAATTAGGAAAAAAAAGGTTAATTTGGTTTTAAATAGCAAAGTAAACATTATTGGCACTTCATGAGGCTTAACAAGAAAGGCATTCAGCATTTAAGTAGTGAACTTGTGCCATCAAAGACTAAAGTAGAGAAGAAAACTTGTTGATATCAAGATGTCAACTGATAGTTGTTAAAATAGCTATCCACAATTGTGTGATGTTACAGCTCTGTTTTCACTTCCTGCCAGTTTCCTTCCATTGCTCCATTCATTTTATATGTGTCAAAGATTTTACCAGGGTCAAAACATGACCTTTAAATGCTTGGTTCTCTCAAAAATCAATTATCAGGTATACCAAATCTCAAGTTATAAATTTCATAAATACCTGTTTTTTTTCTTGTGTGAGACTCAAAGGTTTCAAGATGCAACTTTACAGTCCAACGTAGATATCAGGTATGAAAACAACCAGTAAGCAACAATATTTATTTTTTAAATACATATACATAAAAACCCATTCATAAAAAGACACAAACTGATTATCAAGTTTGATTGTTTGTGCTAAAATTGTCATATACATGGGGTTAATTGGCTGTGGGATATACATTACATTGCATAGCTTGGATTGGCATGTGAGGGGTGTGATTAAAAAAGTGCATTTAATGTCAGATATGATACTATTTCCATTAAAACAGGGCCCAAAAAAATCACAGCCAGGGCTCAACAGACTATCATATGTATGAACCTCCTAGCTGAGTCACACCTCAGCCGATTTGTTCGTCACACTATCTTGCTCTGATAAACTCTGGAAATAATTATAGAGTGATGACTGACAACACCATAATAAGACGACTATTCAGAAACACTGATCTCAGCAGGTTGTATATCCGTAAAAGAGTAAGACACAGATTTAACAACACATGTAAACAAGAATTTTTTACCAGTGATCGCAACAAAACAAAGAGACATATGATTAATGTTGAAGTCTGAAATGTAACATCTGTCATGGTGACATACTCAGCTGTAAGCAGCTATTTTGTTTGCATCCTTTGTTCAAAAACACGACTCAGGATGCTGAAATCCCACACAGCACTTGTGACAATAGAGCTCACAGGAACATTGTGTGAGAAGGAGAAGGGTCAAACCATCTGATATGGACACAGCATTTGCATGTTCACAGCACCGCACTTATTAGCAGTGTAACACAGATGTGAAAAGTGGCTCTGCAGAGATTCTCCTCAGTAGTAAATAGTGTTACAACACACGGACCATTTTGTGTAAAGCAAATAACTCCTGAGAGTGTATTTAAACATACAAACTTTAACCAGTGTTTTTAAAAAATATATGAAAAATTATGCCCGAAGTATTAATACATAGTATAAATATCACAACAACACAGAAAGACAAAGTGTAGTGAAGATGGACAGCAGTAAAAAAGTACATAACACTGTAACAGAAGCAGTTATGGACTGTCAACACATGACAAAGTAAATAAATGAGCTTACAAAAATACAAAAAATAGATAAAAGAAACCGACCCAGCAGCAATTAAAATGCTTAATACATCAGTGGAAACATTCCTCATCATGTCATAAAACAAAATAAAGAGCAGACATAGTGAATGAGTAAAATGAGATGGTTCATACATACAAGTTGGATCAGCAGTGGTATCAGTCCCTTGTAAAAATGATGTTTTTTATGTTTATATTTCTCATTATGTGTTGTGTAATCAAAATAAATGTTCCAGCAAATATTTCAGGGAAAAATTTTGCCCTAGTTTTTTTTCCAAAAGAACATTAACCAACCTGTCGCAGTATAAATGTACATGTTTTGTGCTATGGTTCCAATATTTTTAGTAACTCTGAAGTCTTCAATAAGTCCAAAGCTTACTTTTGAATCCCCAATATTTTCTTTAATTATTTTCTTAATTTAATTGTAATTTTACAATGTAGTTTTCTCTGCTCGTGAATGGACAGTGGGCGACATTATAGTTAGCACTGGACTCTCACAGCAAAAATGCAACAAATAAGCTCCCGAAAGCTTAAAGTAAACAACACTATATGTCAACTTTACCATCAGCGAGTTACAGACAACATGGTGATTTTGCTACTCACACTTCTGAAAAACCTCTGTGAAGTTTTTGCTGGCACAGGGATAGATTGTTCACATTGTATTATTTGAAGTGAACTGCTTTTTTTTTTTTCCAGTGAGCCCATCTAAGTCCCCTCCTTCTGTTCTCTCTCTAACTGGGACTGTCCTGAAGTGTCTAACTCCTCCAGGCACTTTAAAACCAAGATGCTTGTGATGAAGGATGTGGTGCTGTTGCGGTTGTCACAGTACATCCTGTAAAAAAAAATCCCCCACTATTGTCATACACAATAACCCATATGATCAGTCTCAGAGTTTTGGTGTTATGAAAGTAATTTAATACCAGTTTAAAAAAAATCGAAAATTTTACAAAAGCCCCCCACACATACTCTTCACCCCTTTGTCCATCTGTCTATCCACACATCCATCCCTCAGACCTCTGAGCTGTTGTGGCAGTCTTGCATCCTTACCACCAACATGGGCTCCGTACTCACAGACCCTTTCACCACCTCCTGCACCCCCTCCCTCCACCCCTCTTTCCCATCCTTCTGCCTGGATCTCAGCACCAGCACGATGGTGACAACAACGAGGACCGTCAGCAGCAGCCCCACCAGTGCTCCCACCACAGTCACCACGCCCTCCTCTCCCTCCTCTGCGTTCAGCTCGCTCGGCTCCAGGCCATGTGCAAACAGCTCTTTGGATCCTCCTGCGCGACGCTTTGTGCGGTCCAAGGCGATGTGCATGATGTTGGTGCCTCTGTTGTTTTCTACGCTGATATCCTCAGCCACAACTGGGACTTCGGGACTGCTAACCGACCTCCTGGTGCGATGACCTTTGCTGCCCGATGAGGCCAGAGCTAGATCGTTGCCAGTGGAAACGAAAGAGTGGTACTCCAGGCTGCGCTTCCCGATGCCTCTGTTAGCATTCTCTTTGGAGCGCACTGTGTAAATGGTATGAATGTACCACTCACGGCCTGCAGCAACCTATGGAAAATTACCCATGAATCACTGGTATATTTAACAAAAAACATGACTATGTGGATAACAGAAGCGACTAGAAAGAGGAGTCTCAAAAAGGGATTTTCACAACTTTACATTACCAGTCTTAAATCAGTTATATTCATTTTCTACTACTTTGCACTATGCCAGTAATAGTTATTGAAAATTAAATCACAAGGTCATTTTTCTCACTTCCTTTGTGGTCTGCCTCATGCAAGAAACAACACAATCAAGGAGAAACAAAGTAAAACAACAACTTTGGATGAGTAGAAATGTACGTTCTAGGTACGCCTTATAGCCTTTCAGCTTCAAAACAGTATCAAAAATAGCACATTTCATAAATCCATTTGAAGTTTTACACAGTAATGTGGCTGCTGGTTAAAAATAGGAATGAGTTATTTTCCCTGGGGAGTAGATTTTAAATACCTGGAACATGGCTGTAGAGTCCAACTTGAAGCCATCTGAGCCAGGCTGTCTGACAAGTGACAAGGCTGCTGGGTCGTCCACTGCCAGCACAGCATTGAAACCCACATCACCAAACACACGCGCCTGAGTCTCTGGCTGAGCCTTGTCCTGTTTACGTGTAAGAATTGAGAAACAATTAAAAAAGGAAGGAACTTATCTCTGTATTCATTGTTTAATGTTAAAACCACAGCAATAATCTACTCACCAGAATCTTGAATCTATAAAGCAGTGACGGGGAGTCAGCCAAGCACCCAAATTCAAACTTGGTGGGATTGTACTTTGGTACGTATCCATCAGCACCGGTGCAGAGAAAGACCTTCTCAATGCTACAGAAGAATGAGTCTCCGAGATTCTGCACAGGGTCCACCATCACACGACCATAAATCGTATCACCTGAAATATATAGAAATGAGCGATCGCCCTGAATCCTACAAAGATTTTGTAGTAAATGCACAACACCATGTTAAGTGTCAACCTTGCAGATTTTTTACATGCTAAAAATTGAGGAGTGATATTACAGTATCTCAAAATCTATATCTGTGGTATCCAGGAGGATGCTGGGTAGTCAGTGGGGCTAAAATTTTAAGCAAAGCACTGGTGCAGGGCAGCTGGGGCATTAAAAGAGCAGAAGACGTGACCAGAAATATTGCAAACCACTAAATCTGGAGGGTACATTTGTCAAGTGATTGTGAAATGACACATGGTAAAGTGTGAAATTAGTAGAGCTTGAGTTGCCTGCCTGACCAGCTTGCAGGCTTTGATCCACTTTCATAATGTAACTTTAAATTCAAAACTCACTTTTTCTGTTGATTTCATTTCCAGGGGGAAAATTAAATTCAAATGTTTCTCAGCTTTAATACTTCAAGTTATTCCATTTAAATTCCATACGGGAATATCATTTTTGTTATAACTAAATATGAGATATTACTCATAGTGATGGACATGCTTAAGTAGGTCAAGCTAGCGCTACAGT